GTTAAAGGGGGTGACAAAATAAAAAATATACAGGCCTAAGTTCCCTCGTTAGGGTCGGTAATCGAGTGGATAAAACCACCGAACACCGGTCGTGGTTCGAACCCGGCCAACCGCTCCGTGTCATTATTTATATACGTATATATTTCTTCGTAAATATTATATTAAATAATATTTAAAAATAAAATATATATAAAGCCAAACCTCTAGTAAGATCTATTTCCCACCCACGACCATTTTTTACCTTTCCTTCAGCGGCCGTCGTTCGGGGGTATTTATATTTTTTCTTCGCGCTTTTATTTAAATTAATCTTAAATACTTCGTCGAAAAGAATAAGTTTACTAAATTTCGTGGCCGAATGCTCCATCCTTTTCAAATCGAGAAGGTGGTTTATCATGGAGATAACCAGTCGTAGCGGGGTTGTTGATCCCTTCATAAATTAGCCACGTGCGAAAACTAAGGAAAGAGTAATTTAATATACAATTTCTATAACTTTAAAGATTTATATAAGTCGAAAAGTATTATAAATCGTTTCGGTCGGTCGGTTCGATGCCACGTGGCAACGCGACACGTGGACCATCCGCCAAAGGAGAGTTAGACACGCGAAGAAAACCCGGGAAACTGGACAGCGTTCGGTGCTTTTTACTCAAGGACACTACTCCGGGCTCATTACGAATCGATAAAAGGCATTATTAAAATAGAATTTAAAAATTTCCACTATTATAAGATTCACTGGCCGATAAGAAACTCTTAGAGATAATTTCTTCATTTTTTTTTCTATATATTTTATAGGAAAAATAGTGTAAAACGTAGAGAAAAGTAAACAAAAGACTATATTTTAGTTACTAATTATTATTATTTTAAAAATCTTCGAGATATTGTCGTCTTCGGTGTCTGGTAAACGTACCGCCGTAGAAAAACAATTAAATTCTATAAGGTCAAAATAAAAGGCTAATTTTACATCTGTAGGCTGTAATAAACCTAATACGATTGGTGATACGAAGACTTTGCATTCTCAATTTCATTTTGTATCGTATTAATATCCGCATTTCTGGTTTTATTCCGACCAAAAATATTTATGATTAATTTATAAACAACTAACTTAAATGTCAAATCATTGTCATATAATGCGAGAGTGTGTCAAATAAAACGGAATAGTTATTAAATCAGTTACCACCACCAGACGACGAGTTTTCGGTCTAAAATAGTAATAAAAATGAAGTAAAACGTAATTGGGCTAATTATTGTTTCTCTAACGAGACCAGAATGCACTTACGCGCTTAGGACAGATGGACAAAGCGGCTAAGATGGCGATCTACCGCTATGGGGATTCGAAATCGAATCCAGACCACGACCAATGGGCTGGCCACGCCAAGTTTTTCGGGATATCTTCACCTTAGTAACACCTAAATAGGACCAATTTTTCATAAAAGACCTCCCGGAAGGCATTCCTCGACCAGCAGAATCGAGCCAAGCCAATACAGATCGGCAACCCCATGAATTTTTCACCGTCTGTCCCCAATATTTAGGGCCCCGTCTCTCGCCATCCGGCCTTTCGCATTGTGTGACCGGTCGAATTCACGATGAATATACAGAAAAGGCCCTAAGACACAGGAAAAAACCTTAGAACAAATTAGTTTCGTTGTAAAAATGTTAAATTGTTAGGCGATTTGAACAAAATTGTAGACCTATAAATTCCTATTGTCGTCCGTCTGTCTATCCGTCCTTATTGTCCAGAACGGAGTTAGATAGACGAATGCCGAGAATGTCAACGTATTGAAGTCAAAGACTTTCTAAAGTATATCTTCCAAAATAAATGAAAGATTAATTTGCTTTTTTACACATCAATATAATATTTATACAATGTTTGAGGATTAAAAAAAAAGTACCAAGAAATACAGAAAACAGGAAAATTCCCTAAAATTCTATAATTAAATAAATAGAAAGATAAGATAAACTGCTATTTGCGGTTTCCTAGAGTTATTATTATTGTATAGCAGAATCTCTTACAGATAAGAATAAGAAATACAAGTATTATGAATATTTATAACTATAATTAACTTATGTAATTCGAGCTCTAAGTATTTCCATAAGGTATAAGTTATTTTTAGTGTCGCGCCTTAAATTATAGCAATTCTTTAATGAAAGACACGTTAGAATACCTTAAAAACGCACAATTAATTATTTATGCGAATAATTTATAGGATTGTAGGATAAGACGGGGAAACACGTGGGCGATCTGCCAAGAGGGGAGTACTTCCCCGAAACTAACCAGGTATACGGGACAAGTGTATCTGAGCCGATTTTCGGTTTCGATTTTGGTCGGCAGTGACGGAACATTTTGCTTTTGATACATATAGATATAGATAGAAATGTAGATAAAGTAATATTATATTGCTTTTATATGCATTTTTATGCATGAAATACAGCTAGAAAGGTAAAAAAAAACTTTTGTTTTGGAGTTCGGAAACGGATTAATGCATTTTATATTGTTACTTATGGAAAAATTTGTTTCGGTTTTCGAACGAACGAATTAAGTTCGAAACCCGGGTTTTGACCGTACACAAAATAAAACAAAACTATAAGCATTTATTTTTATTTTATTATTAAGTACTACAATTTTCCAGCTTTTGTATAGCGAGTTCTTACACCGTAGGCTTACTTTCTCTGTGAATTTACTAGAATAACTATACGAGCTTACTAAAATTTGGTCCACCGATGGCCGATCGGATAAAACCACCGAACAGTAATCGCGGGTTGGGGCTGGGCCAACGGTTTTTTTTTTTCAAGTTAGTAACACGCTTAAATAGGGGACAGTTTTCCACAGAGAATCGAAGAACTCCGAAATCGAATCATTAAAAGATACCCACGGCGAAAAAAGAGTAAGCTTCCATACGAACCAGGGGGAGAAAGAATAGAATAGAATAAAAAATTTTATTATTTTCTGTTAGATATTTATCACGTAGAACACTTACAAGGAGGTGTGTTTGAAATTATTAAGAAGGAATTACAATAAAATATTGTCATTTTGATATACGTTATCATTCGTGCAATATCGGAAATGACTATTGTCAGATAAGTTTGTAAGATACATTAGAAAACGGAAATTTTCCTTAGACTCAAGAAAAAAAACACGGAACATTCTTCCTGCGCAAACTTACACTTCCGTTTATCGCTTATCAATTCTCAAGAACTCTTGGCTTATCGCCCTCCGGAAATTTCTCTAGTTTAATATATTTCATGGCCATAAAAGATTAAGGAGCAACGCCTGTTAAATATGATATAAAGGAAACGTTACGGATAGTTGAAATCGGCATTGTTTGAAGTAATGTATGTGTAAAGTTTTCAAGATTATTTCTTTCTATTGAAACATATATGGAAAAAAGGAAAAAAAGAAACGATGCGACAATTCTTTGTTCTTTATTAGTTCCTACAAAAATAAATAGAAATATAACTTATCAAAGCGATGTTGTTAACAGATTATTTTTAACAATGATTTCTGACATTGTTATCAACGTAAGGCAATTAATTGTATTTCGCAGGAATATTTTTTGACGCGTGATTAATATAAATTTTTATGTGGGAGATTATTTTTATTTATGTATTTATTCAAATATTTGATTATATTTGATAAAATATGAAATTCCCTTATTAATATCATTTCAAAAATACCCGTTTCTTCTGAAATATTTCCTCTAAATTTGTTTTCGCTTTATTACTTCCAAGGGTTTCCCCCACTTCCGCACAAATTCTCGCCTTTTATATAAAAAAAAATTTAGCTTTTCGGCGTTAAATCGGTACAGAAGGTTTTTTCAAAAAGGTGAGTTAATATTTGACAAATGGCGATAAACTTTACGTATTAATTCAAAGAGGCTTTCGACTCGTCCGACCGAGTTCGAGTAAACGGCCGGGGGCTAAAAATACAATTCGGGTATCGAATTAAAGCTCTCGTCCCGTAGACGAAGCGGCCGAAGAGAAATTTTAAAAAGGTCCAACGGTTCGGGCGTGGCCCAGCGGCAAAGGCGTAATGTTAAGTCTACGGGACAAACACCCTAAGGGCTACGGTTAACCGGACCTCACTCCCTATTCGGTTTATAAATTCATTAAATGGAAGATTGGGGATTAATTTTCTCACGAGAAAAATGAGAGTCGGAATTAGAGAACTTAAGAATGACGACATCGGTTACTACGTTACGTTTCTTAACCGTTACGATAGCGTATGACAATTTAAATTATCGGAGAATTGACTCAGAATATTTACTATCGTTACTAGCAAACAACGATCACGAGTAAGAGATAGAGAAGGGAGCTTCGAATCGAACCGTCTGCCAAAGATTATAGGAGCCCGATAGGACTCCGCTTTGTATCTTCATCGCCACATCGTCCTGCTTACGTAACTACCGTCAATTTCTAAACACAAATGCCTACAGAATAACCCGAAAACAACGGCCATGTTTTGTATTTCCGTCGGTGTCCGCGGTCCGGAAATTTCACCGTATAAAACACCAGTAATCCGCGGTTCAAATATTTTTCTTATTATTCTATATTAATCCGTATTTATTTATTTCATATTTTTTGTGTTTTTTCGCAAATAGATTATAGAATAGGGCATCCGATCGATAGAAATGCCCCGTTTGCGCCCCCGCAAAGACGATACACTAAAATAATTTTATAAATCGACATATTTAGTTAAAAGAAATTGGAAACAACAGTAAACAAAATTAAATAAAAATCACCAGACACGTTTTATACCGTTTCGGACCGGCGAGCGTAAGGGCCTTTGGACGGCGATAGGAATGTCGATAGCCCGTGCACTCGCGCCGAGATTTCGCAGAAACAGTCATAGGACTTTTTAATTTCCCCTCCTCGTTTATCAAAGTGATGCAAACGAGATTTAGTAACATCCGAAAAGATTATGATATCGTCGTGACGCCATTGGTGACGTCGTAAGACAGTTGGGATGCGCGCCAACAATTGCGCCGCTTATATAAGGCGGCGGTTAGTCGGTCTCGTTCGCTTAAACCGAATGGTAGACGTTTATAGCGTATAATCGCAAATTATCACATCCGATTTCGCGCTGGCTCCCTTTTGTATCTTACTTTGTTTGACCATTACCATCAACCATTCCGTCCCAACAAATTAAACGGTTCTGGTGGGAAATTTCTCATCAGGTAAGTCCAAATCTATCAATTTCAAATTCTATATCACTAGGCCTAAAAGCTAACGGCACAATTTCCCATTACTTTTCCCAATTCTTCGTCTATCGGTAAGATTACTTCTACTTATTCGTTATAGATATAACCCATACGCCGAGCCTGTGTCTTTATATGTAATATATATACGCGCGGACGTTATATACGTACGTATATACGCGCCTACACTCGTTCTTCTAAGAATCTATACCGAAAAGTGTACGGGTTACCTTTAGGTAATTTGCGTATTTACTTATATACGCGCGGATTACCTAAAGGTAACGCTCGCCCGCCCGCCGCCGATGCTTTCGTTTCTGTTGTTTCCTATGTATTTTTCTCGCTAATCTTGGCCATATAAAAGAATAATTATATTTTTAATTAGTTTAAAAACTTAAATTACAAACACATTTTTTAATATGATTATAAGGAAATTAAAAACTGATAAAATTATAAGTTTTAGATATTTTTTTTCTATGTGGCGCCTGTTTTTGATGGGAAATTTATTTTATTAAATTTTTGTAAGAGGAGCGTGGAGAAAAATGTGAAGCGTGGTGATTTAATAAGTTTCTCGGCCTGGTGTCTTGTCTTTTTTTCGTAATTTAACGAATATATCTTGATATATCTAATAGTTAATATATATCGATATATCCCATATGCTAGCATATGGGATATATTGAGATATATAATCCTAAGAGATACCGTCGTTAGCGTTAAATGGTAGTCGTGTGGGATATTTGCCGTCCGGAATCTTTAATCCTCGGATACGTTTTACTAACTAATTTGAAAAATTGGTCCCGGAACGTGCGGATAAAGGTACTCGAGAAAAATCTGATATATCTACCGTTTTGTACCATTTTTCATTATTCTAAAAACAGTTGTGTATGGTGTTTAACAGTTTTTAAATTTGCATAAAACCTATTTTTGGGCAAAGCGAATGCGAAAATTTCATTTATAAAATAGTTTGTATACAAATTCCATGTAATCAATGTCAATGAATTAAATTGCAACAAATCATATAATTAAATAAACTACTTTCAATCAAAAAATTTTGTATGGGGAGTCAGACATAAAATTCAAACTGNTTTTTTTTTTTTTTTTTTTTTTTTTTTTTTTTTTTTTTTTTTTTTTTTTTTTTTTTTTTTTTTTTTTTTTTTTTTTTTTTTTTTTTTTTTTTTTTTTTTTTTTTTTTTTTTTTTTTTTTTTTTTTTTTTTTTTTTTTTTTTTTTTTTTTTTTTTTTTTTTTTTTTTTTTTTTTTTTTTTTTTTTTTTTTTTTTTTTTTTTTTTTTTTTTTTTTTTTTTTTTTTTTTTTTTTTTTTTTTTTTTTTTTTTTTTTTTTTTTTTTTTTTTTTTTTTTTTTTTTTTTTTTTTTTTTTTTTTTTTTTTTTTTTTTTTTTTTTTTTTTTTTTTTTTTTTTTTTTTTTTTTTTTTTTTTTTTTTTTTTTTTTTTTTTTTTTTTTTTTTTTTTTTTTTTTTTTTTTTTTTTTTTTTTTTTTTTTTTTTTTTTTTTTTTTTTTTTTTTTTTTTTTTTTTTTTTTTTTTTTTTTTTTTTTTTTTTTTTTTTTTTTTTTTTTTTTTTTTTTTTTTTTTTTTTTTTTTTTTTTTTTTTTTTTTTTTTTTTTTTTTTTTTTTTTTTTTTTTTTTTTTTTTTTTTTTTTTTTTTTTTTTTTTTTTTTTTTTTTTTTTTTTTTTTTTTTTTTTTTTTTTTTTTTTTTTTTTTTTTTTTTTTTTTTTTTTTTTTTTTTTTTTTTTTTTTTTTTTTTTTTTTTTTTTTTTTTTTTTTTTTTTTTTTTTTTTTTTTTTTTTTTTTTTTTTTTTTTTTTTTTTTTTTTTTTTTTTTTTTTTTTTTTTTTTTTTTTTTTTTTTTTTTTTTTTTTTTTTTTTTTTTTTTTTTTTTTTTTTTTTTTTTTTTTTTTTTTTTTTTTTTTTTTTTTTTTTTTTTTTTTTTTTTTTTTTTTTTTTTTTTTTTTTTTTTTTTTTTTTTTTTTTTTTTTTTTTTTTTTTTTTTTTTTTTTTTTTTTTTTTTTTTTTTTTTTTTTTTTTTTTTTTTTTTTTTTTTTTTTTTTTTTTTTTTTTTTTTTTTTTTTTTTTTTTTTTTTTTTTTTTTTTTTTTTTTTTTTTTTTTTTTTTTTTTTTTTTTTTTTTTTTTTTTTTTTTTTTTTTTTTTTTTTTTTTTTTTTTTTTTTTTTTTTTTTTTTTTTTTTTTTTTTTTTTTTTTTTTTTTTTTTTTTTTTTTTTTTTTTTTTTTTTTTTTTTTTTTTTTTTTTTTTTTTTTTTTTTTTTTTTTTTTTTTTTTTTTTTTTTTTTTTTTTTTTTTTTTTTTTTTTTTTTTTTTTTTTTTTTTTTTTTTTTTTTTTTTTTTTTTTTTTTTTTTTTTTTTTTTTTTTTTTTTTTTTTTTTTTTTTTTTTTTTTTTTTTTTTTTTTTTTTTTTTTTTTTTTTTTTTTTTTTTTTTTTTTTTTTTTTTTTTTTTTTTTTTTTTTTTTTTTTTTTTTTTTTTTTTTTTTTTTTTTTTTTTTTTTTTTTTTTTTTTTTTTTTTTTTTTTTTTTTTTTTTTTTTTTTTTTTTTTTTTTTTTTTTTTTTTTTTTTTTTTTTTTTTTTTTTTTTTTTTTTTTTTTTTTTTTTTTTTTTTTTTTTTTTTTTTTTTTTTTTTTTTTTTTTTTTTTTTTTTTTTTTTTTTTTTTTTTTTTGTCAAATTAAAAGCATTGTTAATTTTACAAAGATTTGTTTAATAAAAATTATTATATTTATAAATCTTAAATTGATCTAGTATATTTACAAGAAATTTTACTTATTCTAATATTAAATGCTTTGATTTTCCCGTCGCAGTAATTTATAGAAGTATCAGTCATTTGAAAAATTAATTTTACTAAGAATATTTAAAATCAATACATTTAATTGCCCAGAAGATACCGATTACATTTATCTTCAGTTTTTATTAAAGTTTTGTTTGACGTTAAATTTAACGATCGTTTAATTTATCCTAATGGAGTAATTTATCTATAATAAACGCGCAGTCGTGCCTAATTCTTACGATACTTGCAACCGGGTGAAAAAATCAGTACTACTTGAATTATTTAACAAGATTAATTACATAAAATAACCAATAAAAGAATGTAAAACTTAGAATTCCCCAATTTACATTATTAAGAATTTTCAGCCAGTTAGAAAAACATTTAATATTTTAACATATTGCTCATTCCTGATAAAAATATTGATAAGATAATGTTAATACTGATATCACTCGCATGATATAGGTTGAAATATAAAATATATGGGTCATTTAAACATTATTTAAGTAATTTTTCATTATTAAATCATTAAATTTCAATGAAATAAAAGCATAATTTAAAAAAAAATTGCCTAGGCTTTATTTAATTGAATATACTTGTATAATATTAAATCCATTTAAAATTTTTTAAGTAAATAAGACAACAATAAATCTATAAATAGTTTGTTTTTAAAGTAAAACTTTACAATTGCTATAGAAATTATCAACTTTTCGATTAATACCGGTATCAAGAACTTTAAATTAAATTCTAATTGTGAATTACAGAAGTTAATTAGTAAGAGAAAATCAGAATGAAGGCCACAAATAATTTAATTTAAAAAAAATTAATTGAATTTAAAAGGACATCATTAGAATTAAATTTTTTATTAAAACATGCATAAAAAAACATTGTTATGCTTAAGTAAAATAATTTCTCTCTTACAGTATTAATTATAATGGCATTGATATTTTTATAAATTTAAATTAGAAAAATGTCCAGTTGTTTATATCAAAAGAAATTTTTATTTATAGCAAATACAGTAGACCCCCCCTATAACACCGTTGATAATTCCGTATTATATGAATTCCATATTGTACGAGTTGCTTAGATTTTACAAATACATGTGCCGGGCTGTGAATGCCTCACATATGTGTAAAATCTAAGTGACTCGTACAACATGGAATTCATATAATACGGAATTATCAACAGTGTTATAGGGAGGTCTACTGTACTTCTATATTTAAAATATTTTTAAACTCAGAGATAACAGCTATTTATTTTAATTATTGTAAATTTTATTTTACTATGTTTTATAAATGTAAATTAATTAGTATTTTAAATTTCAAATGATTATTATAAAATATTACACAAATTAAGTAATTCAAATGTAATGTGTAAAAGTATTTATGAATAGATTTTAAATTCTAATTTGCAAAAAACAAAAAAAAAACAAATTATGAATATATTTTTTAAGCATTTAACTTTCATATTCAAACATAAATTTAGTATTAAAGTAGCAATTAAAAATTTAATTAATTTTGTATGTATTAAACCTAATTAAAACCATACCTATTTAAGTATTTTAATAAAAACTTTATAGAACTTTATAATAAACTACAGTGTGATGAATTCGTATTTGTCGGTATTAGCATTATTCTATCGTAGAATAATTAATCTTATTTTTAAAATATATTTGTATCGTAAATCAGTTTTTATTAAACTGAATTCTTATGTAAAATAACATGACAACTGCTTTTGAAACAGCAACGTATTTGCAGTAGTATCTAAAAAGTTATTGAAATATATTTTAAAAATCAAATTTCATTGAAATTACAACTTGTGAAACATTTGGTTTTATTTACTTTAAATGACATAAAACACTGATGTACTTGGATTACAAGTTTAAGTGTTCCAATTCCATTATTCAAACAGGTGAAGACTAAAGACTGCGATTAATTAATTCGTAGACTTTTATTTGCTGTTAAAGCATCACCTTGTGTGCAAAACGTTTGTGTTTGGGGTCGCTATCGATATAACCTACTTTTCGGAATGTTGCTAGATACAATGAGACGCCGCTAACTGCACGTATCCGTGCTCCCGTCATGTTCCATAATTATGTCGGTACCTGTTTGATTTGTCTAAACATAGTCTTTGCCTATTTGAATATGGGAGTTGGAACACTTAAATTTGTAATCAGAGTCCTTTTGGTGTTTTAAGTTTTTTAATTTATATTACTTTTGATCCAGATAAATAATAATAATTATTTACTTTAATTAAAATATATTTAGGTTTCCTTTGTCTTTCTTCACACAAGTATTTTTGAAGTAATGTACTTCCAGACATATTTTCATTTATATTTTCATACCAATTTTATAGCATCTATATAGCAGGAAAACAATAAGGTACTGATTTATAACAGATTTATATGAATAATCATAATGCAAAACAACTCAGTTGTTTAAAAATATTACAGCAAAAATCTTTGTTGGGGTTTGCTTTAATAACATGTTTTTGTTGAGCACTTTCTAGCAACCAAACCTGAACAAACAACACAGTTTGCATATTTCCAGGGTTTGTTTGCCTGATAAGTGCTTGAGAATATTTATTATTAAAGTGAACTCTTCAATAAAGCAGATCTTTGTTATTGTTAATTTCATTAAATTGATTATTAATATGAATTAAAATTCACAATTATATATCAATGAACAATGCATGCAATTAGTCTGAATGGTCTCTAGAGAGAATTTTATCAGAAATAATTATAAATTATAGCCGTGTATTTTGCTCATGTTATCCTTTCTTTATATTAAATTTAAAACTTAAAAACATTTTAGAACTTAAAATGAATACTTTTGCTGCTACCATTGAAACAAAGTTGCACCAAATGTGCTGACTCATTTTTTTTTACATAATACATTTTTTTATTCTTCATAACAATAATATATTATTTCAAGCAATATTTATGAAATTATATATGATGCAAGAGTGAATGACCAGCACAAAATGACGAGAAACCATTATAATTTAAATAATTATAATGGTATGAAAGTATGAAATCAAACAATAAAATATAATCTCTGCACGCTTTTTATGCTTTCAGGTTGTAATAAATAATATCTGTAAAATAATGTGCTTGCAATTTATCAAGAACTTCAGACATTTGAAGATTGTGAAATCATGCAATCGGCATGTGTGGCATGTGTCAATTGGCAAAGTGTTAAATTAAATAAAGTCTTATATGACAGTATTAATATTTCTAAAAATTTTTTTATCACAAATGTTTTTTCATATACTGTTTAAATATATTTCAACATATGTTAATGTACTGCCATCAGTTGCATTTTGCACTAATTTGTAGTACAGATTATGTTAAAATTTTAAATGCATGTAAAATCTAATTATATCATTGTTATATTCATTTTATTGCAGGGAAGGTACACCTTTGAGTGCCAAAAGAAACTTGTATTATTTGAATTAGGTGGAGGACCACCTTGGGACGTTCACTGACGAATACTTCGCAGAAAAAAAATTTAGATAGTCATGTAAGTAAATAAAAATTTCTTTTATGTATGTATTGGCTACGGGCGACAATCAACATATTAATTAATTTACATCTTTTGAATAATTGCAATTAGCGTGAATTTCAAATTTATGTTAACTAAACCTACCACTCGTGTTAAAAGATTTATCTATAAATTGATTATTGCTCAAACTGAGTTTGTATCACCATATTTAAAGTGTCAGATAACTTTAATGTCACAAGTGGTTAAATGTAATAAGAATAATATTTGTTTTGACCTAAACTTTTCATACATTAGATATCATTTTTATTCTATGAAAAATATTCAAAATAAAGAAAAAATACATATATTTTTTAAAGTATTTCAGTTAAAAGAAAATCACTATAGTCAATTTAATATAAAAAAAACAAACACTTTTTATGACAAATCATCATTATTTTTAAATTTTTGTAATTTTTGAATTGTTATTTTGGCTACTAAATTTAATACAAGATGGTATCATAAGCACAGCTCCTTTGTCCAAATTACATAATAAGTATGAAATTAGCCATATTTTGGCCTGATAATTAAACCATAAATCCAAATTAAATGTTACCGAATTCTTCAAATTCAACTCTTTGTTAATATAATACTTTAAGGTGTCTGTTTTACAATATTATGTATTTTAATAGTTTCTATACATTTACTTTTAATTTTCCAATAAAAATAATTATTATTGTAATGTAATACAATATTATAATATGAGGAATTAGATGAATTGAAGCATCTATATTTTTTTTTCATTCATTTCTATGAAATAATATAAGAACAACCCATTTTCAAGGTTATGATAAGAGACAAAAGTACTTTAAATTACATAGAAAAAATTTGGAAATAATTCAAAAATGTTTAAAAGACTGCCAAGCATTATGCATAAGGTTTGTGGTTCTCAAAGGTTTTAAAATAAATGCATACTTTATAAAAGAGAGATGCACTATATTCTTCACTAATAAAGTATATATTTATAATAAAAAATGCCTATAAAATTGATGTTCGTGTTTCTCATTATATAGTATTTGAATATTTACTGGCAGTTTAATTTTATTAACATTTTTAAAATTCTCTTTTGTGCTAATATTTGATTTTAAGCTAATTATCATTGTTATTTACTAATTCTAAACACTAGAATAAGTGCAATTTCTGAGAATTCTATATTTTCTTTATGTAAATAATTTATAAGTAAGCTTATGCTATTCATTATATAATATATAGAAAACGTATAGGGTATCCATGCAACATAGTAAATGACAGTCATTTCTATAAATTTGCCAAAGCACCAAACATTGTATAATGATTCAAAGAATCTTTTTTAATAAATAAAATAATTTTCACTGTTGTAATCTTAAATATGTGTGTAAGATTTAGTGAAAAGAATTCTAAATTTAGAAATAATTATAAGCTAGAATATTATGTTTTAAACTTATTTACTACTTTTTTATTAATTTTATTTGTAATGTTTTCTTAGACCGTTCATATTTCCTGGAATCTTCTGACTCGATTGGATAACATTTTTAATCATGAAGACAGATCTGATTCAGCATGATGAAATGTTAGACAAAACTGTTTGGGATATGGCTTTAGAAACAATTAGCGAACCGGATCAGGAAGATCCTTTTTTCATCGTCGATTTGACGGACATCGAGCGAAAATACAAGCTGTGGAAATTAAAAATGCCAAGAATAACTCCATTTTATGGTAATGAAATGTTTTTAATAAAATTTGTTCAAGTTTGTAAAATTTCATAATATTTTTACATTTCAATTGTGCATAACATGTTTTTATTCTATCAATTTAAAATTTTTCTTTAATTTTTACAGCTATGAAATGCAACGATTGTCCTGGGGTACTTCAGTATCTTGCATCTATGGGCGTTAATTTTGATTGTGCTAGCAAAGTAAGTAAATAATACAGAATGGTTTTATTATTTTGAAGAATATACTTTAATTGAAATTTTTATTCATTTTTTTTAATAAATGAAAAATTTATAATGAAATTTCTGTTATTAAAGAAACAATAATTTGTAGTTTTAATAATTTTATGCATTTTCTAACAGGCATAAATTTATAAAATTCCTTGATCTTTTCAGACTGAAATTGAAACTGTGATTAATCTTGGAGTTGATCCTTCGCGAATTATATACGCTAATCCCTGCAAAACTCGTTCTTTTATTAAATATGCTGCAGCCGTTGGAGTGAAAATGATGACATTTGATAATGAGATCGAACTTTATAAAATTAAATCTATTTTTCCCAATGCAGAGTAAGTAATTTAATAAATTTATATTTTCTTTATAATACATTTCCTTAATGCATCTGTATAATAAAAATTACAGTACTTGAAATAATTAGGTATTTGTAACATATAAATACATGCTTTTTATCAGTTATGTAAAACTTCACAATTTGTAATTGAAAAGAAATGCCAACTTGTATATAAATTATATCAAATTACTTATGGACAAATGGAGTTTTGACCTATATGCAAAAATATAGGAAGTTATTTTGAAAATGGTATACTAGAACTGACAATATTGTACGGAAAAACAAGTGTTTGAATCAGTAAATTCTAGGTTGTCGTAGTGTATCTATGATTAAATACATTGCAAAATAGGAATTATGAGATAAAGTTGGGTGATCAGAGATATTATTATTATTGCCTAAATGTTATCTAACTTATTTAAAAAAGATATGGGGGAAATAGTGTCAAACAATAGAAATTCAGTCATAATTATATCAGAATGAATAATACTTCTTTACATAACTGATGAACCTGTAGGTAGATAATCAAATGAATTCTTAAATGTCTTTTATGGCTGTTATGAGTAATAATCTGTTAGAATTTTAATTTATTAATCTTATTTGTTAAAGTTAGGTTCAAAATAATGTTTTGATGTCACTTTTTTCTATAATCACTTTGGATTTTCTGATAATTTTTTTTTTTTTTGTTTTCAGTGATTGTCATATTAAAATACTACTATTCTAATTTAAAGAACCAATTTTAAACAATAAAAAACATATATATTTTTTAAAATCATTGTGAAATCACATATGAAAAGGTTAAATAGTAAAAACAGTGAAGTTTTGAGATGATGTCCTTCAAATTTAGTAGTAATGATTTTTTATTTTTAACTTTTGTGTTTTTGCATCAAATCCAAAGATAATTACGTTGCGTAATTGAAAAGCATTATAATTATTTTTAAAACCAACAAAGTAACACCAAGTTTTATTTCTGAAGTCGTTTCCTTATATATCCTTATTTTGCTGTGTATAATTTTTATCATAACTATAGAAGAAAGTGAGATAAAAACATTCTGCTTGCACAAAAAGACAAAAAAATAATAAGCTGTGCATGAATCTGCAAAGACCTGAAAAGGATATATAGAGTCTTATGTATTCTTCTCATATTTGATATCACATATTTCCATTTCATTTCATAAATAACTAATCAATAATCAAAATGATAATTTTGAATATATATTTACTTTGATAAATTTGAAAATTAAAATTTTTAATTAAATGAAAACTTTTATTTTGTTTTAGATTAGTAATTCGTATTAAAGTCGACGACAGTGATTCAAACTTCAAACTTAGCCTCAAATTTGGATGCGAAATGAAGCAAGTGGCTCAGCTGTTGAAAACTGCAAAAAGTTTAGATCTTAATGTGATAGGAGTGAGGTAAGAAATATATAATTTGATAATTTAAGCCATGGGTCTCCAACCTTTTTCTGAGAAAGGCCACGTGAACTGTAAAAGACAAATCTTTGGGTAGTTATGATAAATATGGTCAGATTAAGATGTTTTTTACTTATGAATAACAATGTTCATAAATCAATTGAAGTTGACACTTTCTTTTGAAAAAGCAGTTGTAATCAAAATTTGGGATAAATTTTGTGGCACCCAATATTAAAATCTCCATTAGATATTTATTTATTTTAAAAATTTATATGCTTTGAACTAGTTCAAATGATGGTAAAATATATCAGTGGAAACAAGCTATGCAAGCCTTGATTAGATATGCTTCGAGGCCTTAGGTTGGAGACCCGATTTAAACTCAATTGATATTAGTTATTTCGTTAGATGGATATTTTATTTAAATTGCTCTAAATCGCTAGCATTGAAATTCTTGTTATCAAGAAAGAACAAAGTGAACTGACATTAGGATTTATGGAATCCAGGTTTATTTAAGGACTTATGTATTCTAGTATCAGTTTTTCTTTATTCTTCCACTGGAGTTGTATGATATGCATAATTTTATTTTTATCAGTGTTCATTCAATAATAAAATATAAAGGGCTTTATTTTGAATAAATTAATTTTTAAAATTTNTTGAGATATATAATCCTAAGAGATACCGTCGTTAGCGTTAAATGGTAGTCGTGTGGGATATTTGCCGTAATTTAACGAATATATCTTGATATATCTAATAGTTAATATATATCGATATATCCCATATGCTAGCATATGGGATATATTGAGATATATAATCCTAAGAGATACCGTCGTTAGCGTTAAATGGTAGTCGTGTGGGATATTTGCCGTCCGGAATCTTTAATCCTCGGATACGTTTTACTAACTAATTTGAAAAATTGGTCCCGGAACGTGCGGATAAAGGTACTCGAGAAAAATCTGATATATCTACCGTTTTGTACCATTTTTCATTATTCTAAAAACAGTTGTGTATGGTGTTTAACAGTTTTTAAATTTGCATAAAACCTATTTTTGGGCAAAGCGAATGCGAAAATTTCATTTATAAAATAGTTTGTATACAAATTCCATGTAATCAATGTCAATGAATTAAATTGCAACAAATCATATAATTAAATAAACTACTTTCAATCAAAAAATTTTGTATGGGGAGTCAGACATAAAATTCAAACTGAATGTTTAGTTAAATTATTAATAATTTGAATTACTTCTTTGATGATAAATTTTATGAATATTTGAAAAAGATGTTAATATATATTATTATTATTATTTTAATGATTTTACTGAATTTTTCAAAACTTTAAATAAGAAATAAGCGTATCAAATAAATGGAAGATCTGTGTGAACTATGTTGAATTTTCAACATATAAAAGTCAATGTGTATTTATTTTTTTCAATTATTATCCTAATACCTTTTTAGTTGTTAATCAGTGGGCACGTTTCCTGGTAAAGTGAATTTAATACGGGTAAGTAACCGAACCGATGATATAGCTAGTTTCGTTTTGAAACGGACTGTCGTTGGCTTGCTTATCCGGCCGTATTAAAGTTTACCGGGTCTCGCACCCGATTCAAGTTTTAATTTTAACAAAGAAATTATTTGGAAACCTTAAACTTGATGCCATGTCTGACTATTAAACAACTTTTAAAAAAAGGAAATAAAAAATAAAAAAAGAGCTTAATTTTATTTTACTATAGGAATATTTTTGACCATTTATAGGCCCTAGCTTTGGATCCTAAAAAAAGAACGCTGCACCTATCTTACGTTCGGTTCTAAAGCTTTGGAGCCGAGGCTGGACCTAATGGAAGACCCAAAAATGTTTCTCTAGAAAAATTATTTATTGATAAGAACACTAAATTTTATCATAAAATTTCACTATATTATGTTTATCAAAGTATCAATCTATATATATATATAGATTGATGTATATATAAATGGATGTGTGTGTCTCTATATTTCACTTTTCAGCCAAAACTACACATTGCACANTTTTCCATAATTATGTCGGTACCTGTTTGATTTGTCTAAACATAGTCTTTGCCTATTTGAATATGGGAGTTGGAACACTTAAATTTGTAATCAGAGTCCTTTTGGTGTTTTAAGTTTTTTAATTTATATTACTTTTGATCCAGATAAATAATAATAATTATTTACTTTAATTAAAATATATTTAGGTTTCCTTTGTCTTTCTTCACACAAGTATTTTTGAAGTAATGTACTTCCAGACATATTTTCATTTATATTTTCATACCAATTTTATAGCATCTATATAGCAGGAAAACAATAAGGTACTGATTTATAACAGATTTATATGAATAATCATAATGCAAAACAACTCAGTTGTTTAAAAATATTACAGCAAAAATCTTTGTTGGGGTTTGCTTTAATAACATGTTTTTGTTGAGCACTTTCTAGCAACCAAACCTGAACAAACAACACAGTTTGCATATTTCCAGGGTTTGTTTGCCTGATAAGTGCTTGAGAATATTTATTATTAAAGTGAACTCTTCAATAAAGCAGATCTTTGTTATTGTTAATTTCATTAAATTGATTATTAATATGAATTAAAATTCACAATTATATATCAATGAACAATGCATGCAATTAGTCTGAATGGTCTCTAGAGAGAATTTTATCAGAAATAATTATAAATTATAGCCGTGTATTTTGCTCATGTTATCCTTTCTTTATATTAAATTTAAAACTTAAAAACATTTTAGAACTTAAAATGAATACTTTTGCTGCTACCATTGAAACAAAGTTGCACCAAATGTGCTGACTCATTTTTTTTTACATAATACATTTTTTTATTCTTCATAACAATAATATATTATTTCAAGCAATATTTATGAAATTATATATGATGCAAGAGTGAATGACCAGCACAAAATGACGAGAAACCATTATAATTTAAATAATTATAATGGTATGAAAGTATGAAATCAAACAATAAAATATAATCTCTGCACGCTTTTTATGCTTTCAGGTTGTAATAAATAATATCTGTAAAATAATGTGCTTGCAATTTATCAAGAACTTCAGACATTTGAAGATTGTGAAATCATGCAATCGGCATGTGTGGCATGTGTCAATTGGCAAAGTGTTAAATTAAATAAAGTCTTATATGACAGTATTAATATTTCTAAAAATTTTTTTATCACAAATGTTTTTTCATATACTGTTTAAATATATTTCAACATATGTTAATGTACTGCCATCAGTTGCATTTTGCACTAATTTGTAGTACAGATTATGTTAAAATTTTAAATGCATGTAAAATCTAATTATATCATTGTTATATTCATTTTATTGCAGGGAAGGTACACCTTTGAGTGCCAAAAGAAACTTGTATTATTTGAATTAGGTGGAGGACCACCTTGGGACGTTCACTGACGAATACTTCGCAGAAAAAAAATTTAGATAGTCATGTAAGTAAATAAAAATTTCTTTTATGTATGTATTGGCTACGGGCGACAATCAACATATTAATTAATTTACATCTTTTGAATAATTGCAATTAGCGTGAATTTCAAATTTATGTTAACTAAACCTACCACTCGTGTTAAAAGATTTATCTATAAATTGATTATTGCTCAAACTGAGTTTGTATCACCATATTTAAAGTGTCAGATAACTTTAATGTCACAAGTGGTTAAATGTAATAAGAATAATATTTGTTTTGACCTAAACTTTTCATACATTAGATATCATTTTTATTCTATGAAAAATATTCAAAATAAAGAAAAAATACATATATTTTTTAAAGTATTTCAGTTAAAAGAAAATCACTATAGTCAATTTAATATAAAAAAAACAAACACTTTTTATGACAAATCATCATTATTTTTAAATTTTTGTAATTTTTGAATTGTTATTTTGGCTACTAAATTTAATACAAGATGGTATCATAAGCACAGCTCCTTTGTCCAAATTACATAATAAGTATGAAATTAGCCATATTTTGGCCTGATAATTAAACCATAAATCCAAATTAAATGTTACCGAATTCTTCAAATTCAACTCTTTGTTAATATAATACTTTAAGGTGTCTGTTTTACAATATTATGTATTTTAATAGTTTCTATACATTTACTTTTAATTTTCCAATAAAAATAATTATTATTGTAATGTAATACAATATTATAATATGAGGAATTAGATGAATTGAAGCATCTATATTTTTTTTTCATTCATTTCTATGAAATAATATAAGAACAACCCATTTTCAAGGTTATGATAAGAGACAAAAGTACTTTAAATTACATAGAAAAAATTTGGAAATAATTCAAAAATGTTTAAAAGACTGCCAAGCATTATGCATAAGGTTTGTGGTTCTCAAAGGTTTTAAAATAAATGCATACTTTATAAAAGAGAGATGCACTATATTCTTCACTAATAAAGTATATATTTATAATAAAAAATGCCTATAAAATTGATGTTCGTGTTTCTCATTATATAGTATTTGAATATTTACTGGCAGTTTAATTTTATTAACATTTTTAAAATTCTCTTTTGTGCTAATATTTGATTTTAAGCTAATTATCATTGTTATTTACTAATTCTAAACACTAGAATAAGTGCAATTTCTGAGAATTCTATATTTTCTTTATGTAAATAATTTATAAGTAAGCTTATGCTATTCATTATATAATATATAGAAAACGTATAGGGTATCCATGCAACATAGTAAATGACAGTCATTTCTATAAATTTGCCAAAGCACCAAACATTGTATAATGATTCAAAGAATCTTTTTTAATAAATAAAATAATTTTCACTGTTGTAATCTTAAATATGTGTGTAAGATTTAGTGAAAAGAATTCTAAATTTAGAAATAATTATAAGCTAGAATATTATGTTTTAAACTTATTTACTACTTTTTTATTAATTTTATTTGTAATGTTTTCTTAGACCGTTCATATTTCCTGGAATCTTCTGACTCGATTGGATAACATTTTTAATCATGAAGACAGATCTGATTCAGCATGATGAAATGTTAGACAAAACTGTTTGGGATATGGCTTTAGAAACAATTAGCGAACCGGATCAGGAAGATCCTTTTTTCATCGTCGATTTGACGGACATCGAGCGAAAATACAAGCTGTGGAAATTAAAAATGCCAAGAATAACTCCATTTTATGGTAATGAAATGTTTTTAATAAAATTTGTTCAAGTTTGTAAAATTTCATAATATTTTTACATTTCAATTGTGCATAACATGTTTTTATTCTATCAATTTAAAATTTTTCTTTAATTTTTACAGCTATGAAATGCAACGATTGTCCTGGGGTACTTCAGTATCTTGCATCTATGGGCGTTAATTTTGATTGTGCTAGCAAAGTAAGTAAATAATACAGAATGGTTTTATTATTTTGAAGAATATACTTTAATTGAAATTTTTATTCATTTTTTTTAATAAATGAAAAATTTATAATGAAATTTCTGTTATTAAAGAAACAATAATTTGTAGTTTTAATAATTTTATGCATTTTCTAACAGGCATAAATTTATAAAATTCCTTGATCTTTTCAGACTGAAATTGAAACTGTGATTAATCTTGGAGTTGATCCTTCGCGAATTATATACGCTAATCCCTGCAAAACTCGTTCTTTTATTAAATATGCTGCAGCCGTTGGAGTGAAAATGATGACATTTGATAATGAGATCGAACTTTATAAAATTAAATCTATTTTTCCCAATGCAGAGTAAGTAATTTAATAAATTTATATTTTCTTTATAATACATTTCCTTAATGCATCTGTATAATAAAAATTACAGTACTTGAAATAATTAGGTATTTGTAACATATAAATACATGCTTTTTATCAGTTATGTAAAACTTCACAATTTGTAATTGAAAAGAAATGCCAACTTGTATATAAATTATATCAAATTACTTATGGACAAATGGAGTTTTGACCTATATGCAAAAATATAGGAAGTTATTTTGAAAATGGTATACTAGAACTGACAATATTGTACGGAAAAACAAGTGTTTGAATCAGTAAATTCTAGGTTGTCGTAGTGTATCTATGATTAAATACATTGCAAAATAGGAATTATGAGATAAAGTTGGGTGATCAGAGATATTATTATTATTGCCTAAATGTTATCTAACTTATTTAAAAAAGATATGGGGGAAATAGTGTCAAACAATAGAAATTCAGTCATAATTATATCAGAATGAATAATACTTCTTTACATAACTGATGAACCTGTAGGTAGATAATCAAATGAATTCTTAAATGTCTTTTATGGCTGTTATGAGTAATAATCTGTTAGAATTTTAATTTATTAATCTTATTTGTTAAAGTTAGGTTCAAAATAATGTTTTGATGTCACTTTTTTCTATAATCACTTTGGATTTTCTGATAATTTTTTTTTTTTTTGTTTTCAGTGATTGTCATATTAAAATACTACTATTCTAATTTAAAGAACCAATTTTAAACAATAAAAAACATATATATTTTTTAAAATCATTGTGAAATCACATATGAAAAGGTTAAATAGTAAAAACAGTGAAGTTTTGAGATGATGTCCTTCAAATTTAGTAGTAATGATTTTTTATTTTTAACTTTTGTGTTTTTGCATCAAATCCAAAGATAATTACGTTGCGTAATTGAAAAGCATTATAATTATTTTTAAAACCAACAAAGTAACACCAAGTTTTATTTCTGAAGTCGTTTCCTTATATATCCTTATTTTGCTGTGTATAATTTTTATCATAACTATAGAAGAAAGTGAGATAAAAACATTCTGCTTGCACAAAAAGACAAAAAAATAATAAGCTGTGCATGAATCTGCAAAGACCTGAAAAGGATATATAGAGTCTTATGTATTCTTCTCATATTTGATATCACATATTTCCATTTCATTTCATAAATAACTAATCAATAATCAAAATGATAATTTTGAATATATATTTACTTTGATAAATTTGAAAATTAAAATTTTTAATTAAATGAAAACTTTTATTTTGTTTTAGATTAGTAATTCGTATTAAAGTCGACGACAGTGATTCAAACTTCAAACTTAGCCTCAAATTTGGATGCGAAATGAAGCAAGTGGCTCAGCTGTTGAAAACTGCAAAAAGTTTAGATCTTAATGTGATAGGAGTGAGGTAAGAAATATATAATTTGATAATTTAAGCCATGGGTCTCCAACCTTTTTCTGAGAAAGGCCACGTGAACTGTAAAAGACAAATCTTTGGGTAGTTATGATAAATATGGTCAGATTAAGATGTTTTTTACTTATGAATAACAATGTTCATAAATCAATTGAAGTTGACACTTTCTTTTGAAAAAGCAGTTGTAATCAAAATTTGGGATAAATTTTGTGGCACCCAATATTAAAATCTCCATTAGATATTTATTTATTTTAAAAATTTATATGCTTTGAACTAGTTCAAATGATGGTAAAATATATCAGTGGAAACAAGCTATGCAAGCCTTGATTAGATATGCTTCGAGGCCTTAGGTTGGAGACCCGATTTAAACTCAATTGATATTAGTTATTTCGTTAGATGGATATTTTATTTAAATTGCTCTAAATCGCTAGCATTGAAATTCTTGTTATCAAGAAAGAACAAAGTGAACTGACATTAGGATTTATGGAATCCAGGTTTATTTAAGGACTTATGTATTCTAGTATCAGTTTTTCTTTATTCTTCCACTGGAGTTGTATGATATGCATAATTTTATTTTTATCAGTGTTCATTCAATAATAAAATATAAAGGGCTTTATTTTGAATAAATTAATTTTTAAAATTTTAAGATAAATGTTTCAATTCTTGTTTAGTTCAAACATTTGCAAAATTTTTATGTAATAAATGAAGCTAATTTGAATTTCATATCTAAAGTTTTATTTCTATTCATTAAAAGTTCTAAAAAAATTATTATTATTATTATTAAATAACTGTGAATTGAACTTTTAAAAAATCTGCAGCAAAAGTTTTATAATTTTTTAAAAATATAAACAAAATTCATCAAAATGTAATGGAAAAGGTTTAATTTCAAGATTTGTAAGATTTGTAAAAAAAATTATGAAAACTTTTAAAGACTCTATTTTATAATTAATTTTTTAATGCAAAATATAATTGTCTTATTGATGAAAATAATTTAATTTTACTTTCAGTTTCCACGTTGGCAGCGGATGTCAAAGTTCTTCAGCTTATCCCAAAGCAATAGCTGATGCTAAAGAAGCATTTGATATTGCTAAAGAAATTGGATACAATTTCTATTTGTTGGATATTGGTGGAGGATTTCCTGGCATGAAAACAGAACAAAAATATTTTGAAGAGGTTAGTTATTTAATTTATTATTATTATTCTAATATTTTTCCAGAATTAGTAATTCAATACAAATAATTTTTTCTTATTTTATATAAATGATATTTTTGTTTTCTAATTATTAATAAATTATCATAAATCCATGAAAAACAAGATTTCGCTTAATAAGTATGCTCTATTCAAAATTGAATTGTCTGACTATTTCAGAAAATATTTTAATAATAATATCTCGTAGATAATTCTACTGTTTTCATAATTATGCTGGTTCCTATTATAAATCAAAGTCTATAGCAATTAGCTTATTACTTGTATGTAATGAAATTCATTATTAATTGTCTAATGTAATATATGAATCATTTTTGTTTTCAAATCAATAGTTAACAAAATTTTAACTATTTAATTATCTTTTGTCATCATTTCTAATCGTTTGTAACAATGAACTTGATAGATTATAAATATTTATTGCACATGTTGATCAAGGACAATATGGAAAAGCTTATTCACAAAGAAGATGTAGTTCAAATTAAATGAAGTACATCATTGTAAAAGTGCCTCTTATCCACTTTAAAGCTTTCTTAAAATTTTACAAAAAAGTCTTCTAAACTTGCTAATGCTAATATGGGTTTATAAAACAATAATAGAATGCTATAAGCATGTTTTTGAATGATAAAAGCATTTTATTATAATTTTACTCTAGTAATCAGATATCACTGATGGGACAATATTTTAAAAAGTGGATAAGATACAGTTTGGAATGAGATATACCTTAAATATTATAATTGTAATCTTTCTTTTCTTCTGTTTGTATTGATTAAATGGTATTTTAAGAAGAAATATTTAGAAATTTTATTTTTATTCAGATCGAGTGTTAGGGACACTTCTATGTAGAATTGAGTTTTTTTCTGAAAATTTGATTGATCAGTTTCAATTAAACTTTATCAATTTACATGATCTGAGTCAAAGAAATAAAGAAATGTAATAAAAATTGAGGGTCTGTGATTATTTTTGTTTTTGAAATGCCCACACTTGTGCTAGTGACATTGTAATTTTTATTTTTTTTATGCCAGTGAGGACAGCACTGCCGCAGTAACAGTAAGTGATCATTAAGTTGACCCCCAAAGCAATATTGACTTGCCAGCATTTTGACTCTGTTCTTAGTTTGTCTGGTCAGAAAATGAACTGCACCTAGTAGTGTTTAAATGAATGTTGTAACATATTATAAGTTTCTAATTTAGATTTCAATTTTTAACATATTTACAACAGCATCAAAAGACACTGTTTTTGATATACTAATATTTTTATGAAGATAGTTAAAGCCCAATTTGGATATTTGTAAAATCAAAATGTTAAATTTATTCAATTTGAGTTCACATATGTGTACCAGCATATTGATTACTGTAAATTTGTTATAGCTGTTATATATAATGTATACATTAAAATATTATGATTAGAATTAAGGGCAGTTATGAAATAATTTTCAAAATTTAATAAATGTCAACAAATTTGTTTCAGATTGCTGCGGTAACTTCTGCCACACTAGACGCATACTTTCCGGAAGGATGCGGGGTTCAAATTATTGCCGAACCGGGTCGCTATTTTGTTGCTTCTGCATTTACTTTGTGCGCTAATATTATTGCTAAGAGAGACATGATTGTTTCTGGACAAAACGGTAAATTTCTCACTTTTTCTCTTGGATACATAAAAATATGTAATATCGAAGTTACTAAATTTGATGTTTTACGATAGGTGACGAACCAGCTTGCATGTATTATTTAAATGATGGAGTTTACGGTAGCTTTAATTGTGTTTTATACGAACCTACAGAATTAATTCCATATCCGTTATTGGTAAGCACCAAGTTATTTAATATTTAAAAAAAAAAAAACAATTATTATAACTAAATAAAATAAAATAAATTTTATTAGCTGGAAGAAAAAGAGAGAAAAATGGTGAAAACCAGCCTGTGGGGTCCAACTTGCGATAGCATTGACAGAATAATCGAAAACTGCTATCTTCCCGAAATGGTTGTAGGAGAATGGTTGTTGTTTGAAAATATGGGTGCATATTCTTTAACTTCTGCTACCACTTTCAATGGTTTTCAGAAACCAAAAGTTCAATATATCATGCCACTTTATGCAAGGTGATTGTTACTTCTTTAAAATTATGGATATACATTGAAATAATTAACTGATGTATTATATAGACTAAATTTTTCATTAAAAAAATAAGATTTATCAGTTAGATATTAAAAGTTTTTCAATACAAAAATACAATTTACTTATTTCCAAAAATATTATTTTTATAGGGTTTTCCTTCAACATTTTCCTACCTTGGCAGCCGGAAAGTATCTTCACGCTCGTCATTCTGAGATCGACGAAGAATGCGACGCGCTGGTGTCTTCGGATCTCCATTCCTTATTGGTTCCTCAGCCGATCGCCGTTTAAGGACCTTCAATTTATTTAATTTTTTTTTCTAGAAATTTTATTATATTTACATTCCACAAATTAGACCGGAATCACATTAGTAAGTTAATCGAAGAAAATCAACTTGGAAGCTTCCAGGAAATAATTACGAATGGGATCAAGTATGGCTATCTGATTGGTGATAAATATTTTATTGTGCAAAAGTTTTGAATAAAGTAGTAGTTATTAATAAATAAATATGGTTTTAATATAGCTAGATATTGTGTGATCTTTTTTTATTCAACAATATCATTCATTTGTAGGACGTGTCAAATTTATATAAAATTATTTTTTCAACTACTTTTTATAGAAGAATGAGAATGTTAGATTTTTATTTTCTATAATTTACAATGGATATGCATTTTGGGCTTTTATGCCCCTCTTCAGTCCTCATTTTATTATGCATATCAGTAAAACTATATTAGGAGTTACTGAATGTATTTAATAATTATTTATATTTAACATTTGACTAACACTCAAAAATTTTTGAAAAATAGTGACAATTTATATATATATATATAAAGTATTGCAATTTTATGGACCTATTGTATAAAACATGCTAAAGGTTAAATTTTGGTGGTTAAAGGTGGAAGGGGTAAGGAACTGTCCATAATTTGTTTAGGATAATTATGATTACAATAAAAATATGCCATAATTATTAATCATATTTTTAATATGTACAAAAACTGCATGGCGAGTAACAAAATTATAAATTAAATCGTGAAAAAGTACGTTTACCCAATACGACTCATTTATTGGGTCGTATTGGGTAAAAATTGCAGTTGTATAGCTTCCCACTGTCGGCTGTCTTCACGTCTGACCTTAAGCTAGAGAACGGAACTAGATGAAAATCGAGATTAGGGAGGCTCCGATTAACTACCAGTATATACGAACTTCTGGTCTAGACCAAAAGTCGTGATTTCATTATAATACACAAAATTAGCAAACATCTAAACACGCTCCGAAGAATCAACGAAGGAAAAGATGGCGACTTCGTCTCTGTAGGCCTACTCGGTTTTAAAAATTATTAACTTCTAAAAGCTGTACTGTACGTTCTTCGTACACTCAACGTACTTTTACAATGTACTGCATAGCTTTTTTTAATAACTAATTTTAAAAACTTATATTTGATTGCAATTTTATTCTTTTTGTTACTGGGTACGTTTATAAACACCACAGATGATGCCCAGTTGTTAGCGCCATTGTTGCAACACGTAACAATCTGTTGCGATATTTTAGTTAAAAATATAAAAATATTTTAATATTGTAAAATGACAAAAAGTTTTATTTTGAGGATAGGGATGGGTTTCTATAAAAATTGTAAATGCCAATAATCAGTAAAATCGTCATTAAGTCCGATCCCAACGGAGATACACGCGACCCCCATTATTTCCCCACCCCTTGACCCGTAACCGACGGAATTTAATGACATTGATCTCCTTAAACAAACCTCCCATGCACAATTTTAGAAAGTTTCGATAAAAGGCACGGGAGTTAAGCTTCGAATTGGGCAAACAAAATCATGCCCCCCCACACTAATATGCATACATACAGAAGAAAACCCCGAATTTTTTTTACATTTCTCAACGTTTCGAGACCCTCTGAGTCCAAAAATGTTGGAGGGATCATTGTATAACAGTCGGGAAAGTAATAACTGCGTGCATAAAGTAATAAGTGTACGGGCCTGGCTCAGTGTACCTTCGAAGGGACCACAAGTAGTTGAAATCTCTTGTAAGTAAAAAAAACGAAGTCATTGAAAGGCAGAAACTGAAAAAAGAATTAAACTCATTTATCATTGATGTAGTTTATTACATACTTTTAATATAAATATTACAGTTCTTGACTCTTCTAAGTAGCAAACCCACTAGTTGCCCAGTGGATAAAACCACTGAACACTGACCATGGGTTAGCGCCTGGTCGCGTGGAGTTTTCCGGATTTTCTTCACATCTTTAACAGTTAAATAGGGACCAATTTCCCAATATTACACGAATAACCCCTAAATATGGGCCAATTTTCCATAAAAGAGCATTGATCTGAATTTTCCCAGGGACGTTTCTTCAGAATTTTCCGCTTTGGACGGGTTTCCGTTTTATTCAAGTTCCGTGTTAGACAGGTTTTACCGTATATAGGAAGCTGTTTTCACTCGTTTAATATACCACAAATAATAAAAAATTTATTAAGAAATAAACGATATAAAAATTTAGAAGTAGATTTCCCCTGGAAAAATAATTACAATGAAATATTCAAACGTCTTCTAATTTCACTCCAATTCGGTAGATTTTGGAGGTATTTTCTGGAAAATAATTGACGTCAGGAACGAAATTTCCTTTATGATTTTCGAGTTAAAAAACTGGTCATACTCACAAAGCTTGAAAAGGAAGAATGTATTTAACTTTGGGCGTGTTAAACCCGTTAAAACTGGTGTTTCGAGTGAAGGAATAAGCGCCCATGTCGCGGAACATGAGCCAATCCCCCACCGACAAGTTGGGGAGCGAACATTCTACTATTTTGTCCTTAGAACAACACGTTGGGCCCCAAACCACGGATCGATGAACCGTGTTCGAATGGTTCCTCTGCAAGAAAATGTTAATTATAATTACCTTATCGGATGATTGTTCGATTAACCGTCGATATTACCTTTATTGCTATTGGATAATAAGTCGTTTCGTAATAATAAATGACATCGCTGAAGCTTCCAAAGATGCCGTCGCTTACGTAATAATGATATTCTTTCAGCATTTTCCCTTATAAATAATTAAAAATATAATAAAATTTTTAAATGATTAATAATTAAATTATTAATTAAATTTTTTTAACTTAATCAAGGTATTAACTAATTTCTGTTGAAGAATTAAATTAAGTTCAAATTATAATATTCTTTTATTTCAAAGACTCGCTTGAACGATATTATATAATAATACTTTTTAATTGACTTAAAAATAGGTTCGTCAGGTAGTATTTGGATGCAGAACCGTACTTAAACTGGGCTGCAAGTTACTCAAATATGGCTTCTTGTATGTCGTGGCACCGCGCTTCAACACGCAAGAGGCCCTTCCTCTTAAACCAAATGACCCACGCAATATGTTGTATACAATGCTCGTAACGGACAATATGTATAAACTGTCTTTGAGAATAGAACGAGACACCAAGTAGCGCGTTATTCTGTGGGCAAAAAGAGCAATTGCCCGGGGTCCCACGCCAATGTTTTATAAGACATTTCCTCAAAAATTCCCCCGAAGAAAGATGTTTGAAATCAACACTGTACACGAGGCTTTCTAATTCAAATTTCCTGGCCCCATGAAGTTACAGCTCCGGAAACCCACCAATGGCCGAGTGGATAAACCACCGATGGTTGGTAATTAATCGCTGGCCAACGAGTTGCCACGTGGCATTTTCCGCATTTTCTTCGTTTGTGTTACCATACAAGACTTCCGGGGAGGCACCCCCTCGGCAGATTGCCCAGGTGTCGTCAAATAAATCGAACATACATCTGACTTGGGTGGTATCTTTGTAGTTAACTATAAAATTTCCTTTATTTCTGAATATTTATAATAAATAAATAATACCATTTTCTGTAGCTGTTTCCATTTCTCGTTTGGCTATAATGTTAGCGCACAATACGAAGGAAGAAGATACAAGAAATCTTCCCGGATTTGCCACGATCTGTACTTCGTTGCTTGGTAGAAAATGGTGGTCTAAAACGTCTCCGATGATAGAAGATATCTATATAATATAATACATCATTGTATTAAAAGTATTAAATATCAGTTTTACGTATAAAGGAAAAATAAGTACTTTAATTTGGATTAAAATAATTTCCAGCGGCGCGTTAGAGCTTCGTGGGGCCCGGACAAATTTGAATTAGGATGCGCCACGAGCAGTTTTGATTTCGGACATTTTCCTTCGAGGGAATTTTTTTAGAAAAAATTTTCTTATAAAAGATTCGGTTCCGGTCTCCAAATGGTGGCAATTGCCTTTTTTCCCACGTAGGATAACACGCCACTGAAAATTTCATGTTGTTGTCGAGTTAAATACAAAATTTATCTGTTTTAACAATTATCAGAAGCTAATTTATATTTTAAATCCGAACTTTTCATGCCCCTTACAATTTACCGTTCCAAATTTCGTTTCTTAATCTTTACCCCCCACACACATACTGTATTTCGGGTATCAGTTTTTTGACTTTTTTGGGTTCGGAGGTGTCAAAACGTCACGTTTCCAAAACCCGGATCAAAGGTAACACTATTACAATAATATAACAATAGGGAGTGTAACCCATGTTATGTTAATATGTAGATAGGCTTAAAACGGTCTATTGTCGAGACATTAATAACATCGACACAGAAGAAACACGCAGTGTTCATTCTTCACGGTACAAATAAACACGCTTGCTGGGTAATTTTATATTCCGGTTCTCTGCCTGGTGCCATTATGCAACATCGAATTAAGCTGATATTCATTGTGTTGTCGTTGTGAATGGGTTGCCGATGCCACCAAACCGAATTTTTCGTCCCGCGGGCAATAGGAAGGTCTTTTAATTAAGGTCGTCGTGAGATCGGCCGGATGACGAGATGCCAGGAGGTTGGCAGGATGTTTATCTCTTTTTGAAGCCGCTAACGGAGGACCAGTGCGACGATCCGCCATTATTGCGGATGGTAAAAAAATCTCGAGAATCTCGGTTTGTACAGATTTTTGCGTAGATATTTAATAACAGTATAACCTACCTCGTTAAATTTGATTTCCAAATTCTTTATTTTCGAAGGAAATTCCGTATCAAGATGAAGCAAGTAGAAGTTAAATCCTAAATTTTTTCCAGTACTAAACACACGATTTAATATTAAAATGGCGTTTGTGAATTCTTCGACTTCTTCTATATTTTCTATATAAAAACTGAAATGTTTTAAAGCAAAAAAATTATTTTAATAAGAATACTTTCGAACGATTACATTTCAAACAATACAAGTTGTAAGGATCGGAAGAATCGCCGAGAAATTGAAGCGTATCTTCGCTTCATTTATTTACAAGAAATCAATTTTATTACGTTTAAAAATAATCGGATAATCTAGTAAAAATGTCAACAGATTATTTAAATTAAGAACATAATTTACCTGACTCCAACAACTTGTAATTGTAAATCCTTGGCTTCTTGTAGTAAAGAAGAGACTTGGTCGAGACCAACGTGGCCAGATTTTATAGCGATTTTAGGTCCGGAAGAATAAATATCAATGGGAAGAATCAATCTATTAATACGGTTTCGTAAGATTACCAGTGTAGAAAATAACAATAAAAAATTACACGGGAGAAAATACAATAGATTCTTGTAGCATCAACACCCGTTGTACCGCCCGACGTTAACGAGTATTGTATCGAAAATAGATACGGTAATTCAGAATATTCTTCGAATAAATCGAAGAGGACAGTTTTAACAGAGAAAAGAATATTTTTTCAAGTAGAAACTTTCGTGTCGAATACCTTTAATCAATGGTTTTCGACCGGGGTAACAGAGCAATAACACTTCTTACGTGCAGTGGCGGATTACTATTATACCGAGTAGGTTTAAGCCTAGGAGCCAGGAAGGGAGTGGGCCAACAGTATATAAAAATAACAAGAAAACAAATGGCGGTAGTTAATCGGCCCCTTATTACGTGTATTACCGAAAGTACGAAAGGCTACATTGATAAAGAAGTAGGGGTGAAGCGAGAAAAAGTTACCGAGTTGGGGTACGACTGTTAGGAAAAACTGTAGTCGAAAAACTGTCTCGAGTGATCGACTTCATTATCACTTTCAAGATTATTAATTTAGATGTACAATAAAAGGATATACAAAATACGTTATTTATCCATAATATGCGTGACTAGGAAAAAGGTTATCGGTAAATGTTGACCGAGTTTCCCCTAGCCTTAGTTAATTAAGTGTACTCTAAGATAAAGGGTTTCTTCCGGGCCTCAAAAACTGGAATCGCTATTCGATAGTTAACGCTAACCAGAGTCTAATGTATTTTATCCTTCGTAAATATTTGTAATTTAATAATACAAGACGCAGTCGAAGGTGTTTATCTCGAATTTCGCGGGAGTGAGGAAAAAATTCCAGATAACTAAACACAGTAAACAGTAACTCCAATAAAACTCATTAATACAATAGGAAGTTCAGTACATAAGAGAAAACAGTTAATACCAACTACAGGTATGTACAATAAAACCTGCATAGACCGGAATCGAACGGTACCGAATTTTTTCCGTTTTGGATAGGTTTTACCATACTGTATTGTAAGAGACGTTACTCAAATACAGTTTATTCTATCAAAATGGAGTGGCCGAGCTTCGAATTTGTAATTGATACCTTCAGTCCAGAATTTGAAGTACCGAGGTTTTCGAGATAAACACGTCGGCGATAGACAGGTTCGACCGTATTTTGAAAGAAAAACTTACTCGGCTGCTGGATGAATACGTTTAATTTTCTGTAATTCATATTTATTGTCGAAGAACAGCCATTTTACCCCGCATTCGGCAGCAAATGTTAGCGACTTGGGGGATTTACATCGATTGCAGTAGAAAATACGAGAAGGATCGATTCCCGCTCTCGAGACATTTTCAATTTCCATCTGTATTTTGATAAATGAATAAATAATCGTCGTATTGTTATCCAAATATAAATTCAATTGGGAAAAGAAATAAAGTTTAACTTACCTTTTCGTTACGAATTTAAATTTGTTTCATAGTTTTAATTCGCATAACGAGAATAAGCAATCTTTTTTAATGTTTTCGCATAATATATTATCTCGTAGAATACGGAATTCACGGTTACAAATCGTACAGAATATTTTAAACAAGTGTATAATACGGTTACAGTATCGCCCGTTAATCTCTCTTTACCACCCCTCGCTTTTACGTCCGATGATACTCTTATATAACGATATCTAAAATGCCGCATATAACAGATATATCCACTTACGATGTCGTATTACGCAATTTAAACTTCACTTATAGGATTTTTGCAACACGGCTCGCAAGAAGATTCCAATTTACGACACTGGCTCGGAGGAAGTTTCCAGAAACCAATCCAAACCGAGTTTACCGTATATCTTCCTTTGATTTCCGTATATAATATATAAAATTTAGGTGTAACTTTAGCCGTTTTTGGTGGTAGAAATACAACAAAAGAATTTACCTTGCTGGCACAAGAGAAATTCACTCCTAGAGCACCCAACGTGACGATCACCTTAGGATCGTTGTTATACCGAAGAGCTGTTCAAAGAAAAGTGGATAACGTTTAAATACAGTACGGAGGCGCTAATCCCAACTAATCCACACCGGCGGTGGTCGGGATTAACGGGCTTCGCGGCCGTTGCCGGATGCTCGATGGCATCGAATAGAGAAATAGAGAATTAACTATCGTTAATTCAAAAGAGGGTACAGAAAGAACGAGCGGCATTGTTGGCAACACGTGACTTACTTTATACTCGGCTGCGAGTGTACAGTCGCGAGTCCATTATATTAGGGGAATGGTAAAAGCCGCTCGGATGACGAGGCGTTGGGACGAACGGGGTTTCGGATCGAAGCCACCGTACCGTATATGTAACGGCTATAAATATACAAATAAGAACTGCAAAATATGTAAAGGTATATCGAGTTCTACACCCAATTAAATTAAGCTCATTTTTGTAATCAAACTAGATTATTTGTACGATGTATTTACATGTTCCACAATGATTTATTTATTGTTTTCTCACACCGGGATACGCGCAAAGAGCGGAGAAAACGCTAAATACAACAAAAAGAGCGAGTTAACGACAAAAATACACGCGCTTAAAGGAACAAATAAATGTAAAGTTTACGACCTTTTCTGCCGATAGAAAAGATTTTTTAGGGGTAAATAATTTTAAATTCTCAAGTACAGAGATATTTTGTTAGAGAATTACTTTAAAGCTAACGAGGAATAAGGCGGGTCGTATATTAAACGTGTGTCTTATCGCGTACGGTAAACAACGAATACGGGAATGAACTCACGGAAAAGCAGTCTTATTCCGTCCATTTTCGTTTGCCAGAATTTAAATCTGTGTATTATTTGGGAGAGATCGGCCACAAAAAACGCTTCCTCCTGCTCCTACATCCAAAAGAATTTCCTTTCATTTCGATTTATCTCAAACTTTAAGCCAATAAAAGAAAAGAAAGTCGGTGACGTACGGGATCGTCGGTTATATCCGTTATTATATCCAAAATAGTTTTGTCCGTAATTATTTCCACCGCACACGCAGAAGTTTCCATCGGAATCTGTGGAACGAAAAAGCAAACAATCAACGAAATATCTCCCTTCAAAATATATAATAATTCATCTTGTTTTTCGTTCACTTTTCTACAGTAAATATTTGAAATTTCGATTAACTAAATTAAAATAATAATAAATAGGTTAAACACGAATCTAATACAGATTATCTCGTCCGATGTACGTGGACGACATACAAGTACAAGTACAGCAAAATCGGCTGTTAGAAGTCACACGCGATTATTCCACCGGCATGCAAATGCGGTTTAGATCGAACGGATGCGGAACACTTCGCGTGGATACTGAAGAAAGTATAATTTTATACTCGGAAATGGAGACGTCATGTAGTCCGTAGACGAGCTAACAGTATACAAATATTTAGGATTCCAACGGGCCAATCTAGCGGAATATATAAATAACAAAGACTAACGAAAGAATACAGATTACAATAGCGGATTAAACTCAATATCAGCACGAATGCAAAACACACATTTAAAGCAATCGACACGTACGTCTCTCATATTGACATATTCATTTGGAAGTTATCGTTGACTAACTTCTATAAGGTGAACACCGGTAGTCGATGACGGTTTGGCATTTCACCAACGGGCGTGCTACAGTTTTATCGGTTGATTTTACACCGAAAGTCCTCCCAAGAGGCATTTCTCCATTCGCGGATCGCCCGTGTGTGGCGTTGCCTTATCCCATCCATCTTATGTTATTTTATTCGTATAACATAAGCAGCCGGAAAGACTTTATTAGTATCGAATATTTTAACGTTTTTCCATTATTTTCTACGTAATTATTAATGAGTTAAAAGCGAAAATATAAAAGACCCCTTACAAAATCGTGCGTATACGTGACTTACGAGTTAATAATTTAACTAATAATAAAGACTCTCAAAATAGGTGTCTACGCTGTAAAAGAATTCGCAATAAATGCTTCTGTAAATTGATCATTTATAGAACACAACAATAATTGCGGATATTTATATATACTAATATATATAAGAGAATTGTGCCGAGCGGAGAGACACTCGAAACGAAGTAATTACTTTATCGAAAACAAGGGGACGATCGATAAATTTTCGAATTAATCCGATAAAAAAAAACAACACTGGAATTACAACCAACTTCAAAAACAATACTTACTTCGACAATTCTTCAATAAGTACCGAACGAATCGGGAATCTTATGTACGGAGCACGTATAAATACACGGGCTTTGATAATACTGTATTGTACGTTCGACCAATCAAAAATCAGTAACAATCGTTTTTTATATTTAGTTTGGCGATAACGATTCGTTATTTAACCTCTGGGAATTCGGCTGCCCTCTTCGCTTCGTTTCTTATCCGTTTCTATAGCCTCGATCTTTTAAATTCCCACTTATAAAATCGAGTAGATTACTCTTTATCGTTTACAATGTATTAATCAGTGCAGCTTGATAAAATTTAAAAATAATTCGATACAAACGTACGGTATATCGACGATAAATCCAAAGTAATTTGATCTCTTCGGTTTAAGGGTGAATTTATTTACAATAAAGTCGAAATGAATGAATTAGGACAGAGAATACGGCGTGGATTTTCAAGCCCGAGACAAAAATGTTTTTTATTCGTCGTTCGGGAAGGTCCCTATACGAAAGACAATCGAGACTACGTAAATAATCTGCTAGTGTTGGGCGCAATCGATTGTTTAGGATAATCGAGTAAGTCCATGATTTTTATTAGAATCTATCGAATCGATCGATTCTGGCATAGGCTACTTTTAGGAAAATATAAAAGATATTGAAGATCGATTTTCTTCTTTTACGGCAGTGTTTCTCAAACTCTAACGAATCGTCGCCCCTTCAACAAAACCGTTACGTACTATCGCCTAGTGCTGTGCGATGCATCGATGTTTTTGTTCGTCGATGCATCGACCTTCCGATGTTTTTGAAACATCGATCCTGAATCGATGTTAGCAATATGTGAATTTCGATTCATCGATGCATGCAGTTCATTCTTTGTTCCTTGTGTTACCACCTGTTCGGTTTTCACCCGGACAGTCCGGGAATTTCGTAAAAATTGTGAAATTGCGATGAAACAAAGTTCTTGCAAATATGTTTACAAATTTACACTATTTAAATTTACACCTTTGGTCATCCAGAAAAGTTGATATTAAGATAGAAAATGTTAATACAAATGGAACTTTAAATTCAAATTTTAAAACTTTTTTAGATGCCCCTATTGTGCCTCACAATAGTAATGCTTTGGATGTGTGGAAATCCATGAAATTTTTTAACTATAATTTATGTGAACTTGCCACGAAGTGGCTTTGCATTCCTGCCACTTCAGTTCCAGCAGAAAGATTATTTTCCAAAGCTGGAAATACTATCAACAAAAAGCGGAGTTCTTTAAAGCCAAAGAATGTACACAAACTTCTAGTTTTAAATTCATTATCAATTGAAGAACTGTAATTGAACTATACAAGTTGAAAATTAAGTTTTGTTTTTTTTTTTTTTTTTAATTGCTTGAGTTTATCTTGATTGAACATCGATGTTCCAATGGGCATCGATCAAACATCGATGTGAAATCCGACATGGAAATTTAGCATCGATGCTTAGGCAAACATCGATGTTAAAATTATAGACATCGCACAGCACTGCTATCGCCCCCTTCGCTTCAAAATTCCGATGCCGAGGGCCGAAGCTAACGCCAAATGCGTATCGCATCGAACACACTAGTGACTAGTATAATGTTATTTGTTTAATTATTGTACGATATAACCAATAAAATATCTAATTATTCTTAATATAATGTTTTACTATATCGCCCAGAAAATTGTTTTTCGCCCCCAAGATATAAATTGTTACTAATCGCCCCCTCAACGCGGAAAAACGTCCCCGTGTGGGCGTGTTTCCATAAACCATTGGTTTATGGAACCAAGGGAGGAATTCCATAAAATTCCTATAAAAGACTTCCCGAAAAACTGGTTCCTATCTATTTAGGGGTTACAAACGTGAAGAAACTGGAAAACATTACGTGGCCAACGAGGCGCGAATCCACGGCCGACTACTAGTATTTCGATGGTTTAATCCACTAGGCCACTGACGGGCCGATATAGTAAAAACAATATTTCCAAGAAAATTTTTTATTTATAAATTTTTATCATATTACAATATACGTTCCGATGTGATTTTACTTATTTTAAATCTAAATCTTTCGGCCAGCCAAAAGTATCGGAGAAGAATTTTACTATTTATTTACTAAACCGTACGGCCGCATTTAGAAATTGAAAGAGGCCTACCGTTAAGCCACCGAGCCCTTGGCAACGACTCGAAACGTTAGAAAAAGTGTGTAAAAGCCATCGAAGCGTGGCCAGCCACTAAACCTAACGAAACGACTCAAAAATTTCCAGAGGAATATTCGTACTCGTCCGATGTGCCTCTACACCCAGTGTTTTCGATATCGAGCGTTGTGTCGAAGAAACGTCCTGGTAGAAAATGCGCCAACCATCGGAAGAGACGAAAATCTGACGATAGCGAAGTCGGGGCTACGTGTCGGATAACGCAAAACTTCGATTCCCTTCGTCTCCTCTAACTTTTCTCGGACCATCCCGGAATGGTGTGGCGGCATACGCTTTGGATTAAGCGAAGCCGGATAGCCAGTAACTGCAAAAGTTCCAACACTTTTTCCAGTTTATCGTTCACAGCCCGGCCATTCGAACCAGTTTCCAACGTACCGGACCGTCCAAAATCCACCAATAATCGTCTAAGACTCTACAAACACTTATTGAATTTAAGGCAAACGGATTTGATTAATTAAAAATCTAAATTTAAAGTAGAAAAATACAAACTATATACAGTGGTTTGATTGGATTACTTTTGATTACGAAACAGTTTCCGACTCTTATTTTTATCGATTGCAAAGAATAAGAGGATCAAATTCTGCGTCGAACGAACCAGAAATCTGGTCGGTATGGCTAGAATCTACGGAGCGCGTCGAAATTCTCAATTTTTACAATCTTACTCGTTAGCTTTTAATACAGAATTTTGAAAATGATGGTAAAAAACAAACATTTCCGACGTATCGAGATACAAAAATTGTCGTAAATCAATAACCGTCTGTGGTAGAGAGTTATTTTTTGCTGGTTTTAAAGCTGTTTTAATGCCCTTTCCACAGGGGCCAGAAGTATTCTGGTAAGAAACGAAATTTCAAAATTTCGGTTTTTTGGAAATGGTAGAAAAAACCACCTTTAATTTCTTTTAAAACTTATTTTTTTCTAAATTTTTATAGTGGAATATTCGTGAAATCGTAGTAAAAAAAGAAGTACCGCCTACCCGGTACGTTTCGCGCACTAGTCGACTCCGATGTTTTTCTGGGCGCGATTATACTGTATTTACAAAACTTCTTACGTATAGTCTTACGTTTTCACTCGTATTTGAAAAATAAAATTTAATCACACCTCGCAACTACATTCCAAGAAGTAAATACAAATTTACTTAAGGATAGCTTCAATTTTTACATACTTTAAAAATGTGATTCCACGCTTAACCCGTTACGAAAATTTCAGATATAAGCTTACGAAATGCTCCAATTTAACGTAACTTTTTTTGAAGAAATTGAAGGCGATTTTTCTAAGATTTTGAAAAAGGACGAAAGTTTTATTCCGTATTAAAATCTACGATTAGAAAAATTGAAAAAAAATTAATTATCGGCGTATTCTTATCACGCATCGACACTATCGATAAACAAAAATCAAATTAATGCGAAACATCGAGGTTGAAAATCAACGTGTCAAATAGTCTGTCGAATTGATACGAATAACCCAAAGAGCAAATTTTCTGTTATATAACAACACGGGTTATAAGTCAGATAAGAAGCATTTATCTTTTATTTTATCTGTTTTATTTGATTAAGACCGGAGTCGACGCCCCGAAATTTGCCGCCCGAATCGAGAAAGGGTGGCGAGTTGGCGCCACCCTTTCTGGCGGTCGCCGGTAGGGCGAGGGTGAAGTAATGTGTATAACACCGTTTTGATCTCGACCATAGAAACGAAATAAAATATTATCAAAAAATTTATTCCAGACGGAAATTATTTTTACATAAATACAAATACGTAACGAGCAATTATCTGCCGTTACGCATTTGCCGGACTAATTTTTAATCATCAATTTTGATCAATAGCTAATTTTAAGCCGGTTAATTTCCGGGTAAATATTCGGATTATTCCTCCATCGACGGGACTCCAATAACCCAAGACATTTGCCGGATTCGACCGACAAAAGCACGCTCGAATATCGAATGGCGATTCTCCGCAATGGCCAGAAAGCCGCCGAAAACTAGAAAAGATGTCGTTTATTTGTCGGACCTGGAGAAAGATATTACTGCCGGCGCCGAGAAAAATACAATCGAGTATTTACAGAAAAATCATTGAAAATTATCCAACAACTTACTTAGTTGTCGTACATTTTAATAAATGAAGCTGCCGTTGCCTGGCTAATCAATGCCTCCCGGGAAGACTGGTGGAAAACTGGGCCCTATTTAGGGGCTACCGACGCCGATAAAACCCGGCCTATCGTCCGACTACCGGCGTGGGTTTTCTTGGTGTTTTCATCTACTCGGCCGCTGTACAGATTTTCGGTGGCGCGCAAATACTTATCGAACCGAAAACAGAGAAGACGGAAACTTTGCATTTGGCGGTTGTCTTTTTTTTGCAAAAAAAAAAAAAATACTTAATTCCGACAAATTATCTAATTATCAATATCGAATAATACTTTGTAATTTTTATCTGCGGAATTAACAATAATTGGTTTATCTTTTGTTTTAATTCTATTTTCGGCCACGTGTCAGTAAGAACGCTCTTAGCTAAGCGATAAAAGTCGAGAATATTCGATCGTTAAGTCGGCCCAGGTAAGTTCTTATCGTCAAAAATAAATTTCGCAAATTAATATGTAAAAGTATTTCGTTTCGTTCGTTTAATCCGCGTGTCTTTTTGAAATGCCGTGTTAAAAATTGAAATTTAAATTTAAATACGTAATTCTAGGGATTTTTTTACCCCATGAATTTGAAATCTCCACGTTTTTCGTTAAGAATTATTTCAAAGTATTTTAAAAATGGCGTAAGATCTTTAAAACGTATTATTAATAAATTTATACTTGGATCAAAAAATTAACTTAAACTTTTGGAATGTCATTTTTCTTATATAAAAGATTGGTTGTCGTTAGTTTTAATCTTCCTCCGTATTAACCTCGGTCGATGATTCGTAAGGTATAAAATTATTTAGTCCGACTTTTAACTTCGCTCCAAACACCACTTTATTGCAGCCGCAGTTAACGCTTTGTCGGCCAAAAATATAAAAATGTCTAGTCTAAAAGAACGTAGGCTTCGTCCTTCGGCCCTTTTGCTTTTTAACGGCCTTAGACGAACGAATTTATTCGGGTGTCTTATATCGATCGTCGGCTCTTCACCGTATATCTACGAGATCGATCCCACGTGTCGAGTTCATTTCATTATTTAAAATTAGTTTAATTACCGAGCCTTTCTTAGGAACTTTAGGTGAAATTTGTCAGAAAAAACGGAAGGTCGAGTAAATTATGATCGTATCTCGTATCCCTAGGGACGAGTTTTACTTTTTTAAATAAAACTCGTCCCTAGGCTCAAAATTAAGGTTTTTGCCATTTTATAATAATCAATAATATAAAGGATGTTTTTAATAAAATATAAAGCGCACTTTTATACGCCGCCGGCAAAGTTAAACGACTCGTTGCTGCCGGAGGGTTTTTTTTTCGTAATTAAATTGAGTACAAAATACACTTACGTAAAACAAAACGTGATTATACGATTATCGCTGTCATTTGATAAGCTGAAATTGTGATTTATATTTTAACTTATTTTACAATTTTCGGCTAATAAATGAATTATATTTCAAATATTATTTACTTAGACCGTCGATGGGATAAAGAATTAGTCATGATTGGGCACGATGGAATATTAGACGAAACTGTTTGGGACGTGGCCGTAGAAACAATTAGCCAACCCGATCGGGAAGATCCTTTTTTCGTCGTCGATTTGACGGACATCGAGCGAAAATACAAGCTGTGGAAGTTAAAAATGCCAAGAATAACTCCATTTTACGGTGACGAAACGTTTTTATTAAATTTCACAAATTATAATTTTTGAAATATGAAAACGTAAATAATCGGGCATAAAATTCCTTTCTCGATTCGACAGCCACGAAGTGCAACGATTGTCCCGAGGTACTTCGATATCTGGCATCTATCGGTGTTAATTTCGATTGCGCTAGCAAAGTACGTCTATTTTGTTTTTACTTTATTTATTTCGATGCAGATTTTACGGGGTGAAAATCTATTGCGTCGAGACTTTTTCTACGGTAATTGAAAATAAAAAAATAAACTGGTTGACAAAAGTGAGGGAAATCCGGAAAACTCCACTTGGCCGGCCTGTCCTAGTTATCTCGGGTCTCGTCCCTCGTCGTCCGAACCCATCGCGCACCCGGCCAAATCTACGATTGACTTAAAAACGGGTCATCTCGGTGTTCGCCCGGCAAAATAAATAAATAATAGAGGAGAAGGTGGTATTATGGAACACTGCGGGTATTACGGAACCACCCCATTTCGAACTGATAATAAAGGCGAACTGTAGCGGAATGTGGATGAACTGAACTAGGCCGACATCCATAGCGAGGGGAAAACCCGTTTTACTTCAGTTAAACTGTTGTCCGTATTTAATCAGCAAATTTGTTTTTTTCAAAATTCGCAAGTTTTGAATGCTAAGTGAATTTAATTATTTTTAAAATATAAATCGTGTAGTTGTAGGTTCACTGGTGCACGTATTCCGTTCCAGAGACTTAGGGATACATATTAATCTGGGTGATGATCACGTTTTTTAAATTTTAGTCTCGACAGACGTAAGTTAATTCGAGATGGCGATGCGTGAAATACGGACCCCTTTGGTGCTTTTACAGTAATATGGAACTCGACTCCTCCGAACTTTCTATTTGCGAGCAGACATTCCTCCGGAGCAATTTGTGAAAAAGACACTAAGTAGAAAGCCAATTCTTCCCGAGAATATCGAAAAAGAGCTGCTGGAATATATATTGTCGATGGAGGTCATATTTTTCTATTATAAAAGCATTTTTGCGATAAAATACATTGGAGTAAATAATTTGGTAATTATTTAACATTTTTTGTCCTTTCCTATTTGATTTTGGCTACATTAAAGCATTTTTTTGAAAATATACGGTAAGGTTCCGTATTACCACCCGATTTTCTCTAAGCCTACTTTCGGACTTTTTGTACAAAACCCTTCAAAAACCATTCTTATAATTACACTAGCGGAAAATCCAATTAGTAACATTTAGTTTAATAGTTACCGGTACTTTTCGCACAAAATATGTGGGTGTAGTTACGATACCTTGTTTACAATTCACTAAAATGTAATTGGGGTTCCATAATACCACCTTCTCCTCTAATATAGAGCCTAGTTTTATTACTCGGAAGAATATCTTTTAATCGAACGAGACTTTTATTCGGGTTTTATAATAGATGAAAAATTTAACAGACATAATTTTATAAAATATTTTCAGACCGAAATCGAAACTGTGATTAATTTGGGAGTCGATCCTTCCCGAATTATTTACGCGAATCCTTGCAAACACAAGTGCTTTATTAAATACGCCGCGGATGTCGGAGTCAAAATGATGACGTTCGATAACGAGATAGAACTGGATAAAATTAAATCAATTTTTCCCCGCGCAGAGTAAGTAATTTAATAAATGTATATGTTTTTTTTAAATATATTTCTTTAAAACTAATAGCTAAGAAAGTTTTTCCACGCCTCATGGCGGATTCGGCGGGCCTAGAGAGCTTTGACCCGGGCCATCCGGTGGTCGAGCCGTCGTTGTAATAAGCAAAGTTCTATAAGTATATTTTAAAGTATATGTTTTGGGGCCCGTTAATCGCCATAAGATTAAACGACTTCCACCAGCGGATGGCCGAGCGGTTCGGGCGTTAGTCCGCCGCTCCGGAGTACCCGGGATACAATTCGGGGATGGTTTGCTCCGGATGAGTCTGGCTCTTTTCCCACCGCTCGGTTCTCCCATCGTAGACCCGGCCGAATCCACCACGGGGCTGCCAAGAAGGTCCTCTTAGTGATGGCAAAAAGAAAAAATAAATATATATGTATTAAAATATTAAGGTCTTTATAAATTAGTGAACGGATTTAAAATAATAAAAATATACTTTAATTTTATTTAAATAACAATGTTTTTTTAGATTAGTCATTCGTATTAAAGTGGACGACAGCCATTCGAGCATGAAACTTAGCCTGAAGTTTGGATGCGAAATGCGGCGAGTGGCTCGACTGTTGAAAACTGCAAAAAGTTTACATCTTAATGTAATAGGAGTGAGGTAAGAAGTATATAATTTGATCATTTAAATTCTTTTAGTACCGAAACGTCCGTCCGATGACAGAATTTTCAATTTTTAATAAGTATGAAATTTCGGTTATTTTAATCTTTATTTTCACGGAAAAAAGTAAATTTCATAAAATTAATTTAGTTGCGAATTGAGATTTATATTTTGCGGTATAAAATTTCATAAATTTTAAAATACGTTAAAACCCGGCTTAGTCGGACACCTGCGGTAAAAGTGTAGAACGTCCACGGATGCGCCCTCCGAAGTTTGCTCCCGTTGCCTGGCCCTAACTACGGAGCCGTAGAGAAGTGTCCAACTTTTTAGTTTTACCGTATAATTAATTAATAAAATTCATCGGAATTACAATAAAAACAGACCCAATATTTCAAGAATTATAATAGAAACATTTGTTAAATTCGACGAAAACATTTAAAAAATTCCTCTTACATAAAAAAGAATTTATAAAGAGAATCTATTTGAAAAACCTCATTTTATAATAAATGATTATAAATTACGAGCGTGTCTTTGCTCTATTAAAAAACAATTTTACTTTCAGTTTCCACGTCGGTAGCGGATGTAAAAGTTCTTGGGCTTACTCCCAAGCGATAAGCGATGCTAAAGAAGCATTTGATATCGCTAAAGAAATCGGATACAATTTCTATTTGTTGGATATCGGCGGAGGATTTCCCGGCACGAAAACGGAACAAAAATATTTCGAAGAGGTGGGCTGTTTCATTTTGTTAATTACTTTCTTGATATTTGTATTGAAATATTACCGTTCCCGGCACTATTTAACCAGTAAAGTCCCGTCTCACTGGAGATACGACGCGCCACCCCTCTCCGCTGCCTCGACCTTTAATAATCGAAGAATTTCATTCCAGATTGCTGCGGTAACTTCCGCTACACTAGACGCGTACTTTCCCGAAGGATGCGGGGTTCGAATTATTGCCGAACCGGGACGCTATTTTGTCGGTTCCGCATTTACTTTGTGTACAAATATAATTGCTAAGAGAGACGCCATTGTTCCCGGGCAAAACGGTAAATCTCTCACCTTTTCCATTTAATATTACATATTTTTACCTATTGTATTTACCAAATTTGATATTTTACCATAGGTGACGAACCAGCTCGCGTGTATTACTTAAATGATGGCGTTTACGGTAGCTTTAATATTATTTTACACGAACCTACAGAATTTATTCCTTATCCGTTATCGGTAAGTACCGAATTATTTAATATTAAAAAAAACAATTATTATAACTAAATAAAATAAAATAAATGTTATTAGCTGGAAGAAAAAGAAAGAAAAGTGATGAAAACCAGCCTGTGGGGTCCGACTTGCGATAGCATTGACAGAATAATCGAAAACTGTTATCTTCCCGAAATGAATATAGGGGAATGGCTGCTGTTCGAGAATATGGGTGGATATTCTTTAACTCCCGCTACTACTTTCAACGGTTTTCAGAAACCAGAATTTCGATATATCGCGCCACTTCGCGCTTAGTACATGTTATCCTATGGGCTAAAAAAAAGCAATCGTCCGGAGCCCCACCGACGGGGAATCGCGAACTAATGAACTTTTGTAAGAAAATATTTCCCCGGAAAACGTGTTTGAAGTAAACACCGCGCGTGGTGCCCCTAATTTAAATTGGCCCGACCCCCGCTGGCTTAGTGATTATTACTATTTTACTATCTCGAAAGATTATTCGATAAATAAATAACGTCGCTATCGTTATTCGTTGACATTATACGAAGAAATCTCATAACTGTAAAACATTTAAAGTAATAATAATAAATGCTTGTCATCGTTACTTCGCCAGGCGGCAATATCAAACAATCCAAAAGTCGAGCCAGCTTTACGGGGGATTTACGATTAAAAAATAACTGTAAGAATTCCAATTGACAAAATTTTCTAATAAATATTTGTTACGAGTATTTTAAAACGAAATAAGTCGTTTAAAATTGACGGGCGGATGACCGAATTAGCCGTTTGGGGAAACTCCCGTGAACTTTGACCTATCGACCCGGAAGTTTGGTCAGTACCTGGCTGATAACGACAAAGGCTTAAGTTTAAAATCCGAGCTTTCTATACCCGGTAGTTTTTTCTCTACCAGCGTCAGCGGGGTCGGATGAAAAAAAATACGGCAGATTTTTGCACTTTTCGATCGCTTATTTTTCGGCAATGGCTTTATTAAAAAATCTTGAAATTTTGCACGCCGCCTAACGAAATAATTTGTGTTCGGAATTCGATAAATAATTATCTTCTGCATTTACGCGGTGCAGAATGTCCATCGTGGAGAGGTAAAAGACCATCTTAAGTTCTACGTCTCCGGGCTCGACCGTCTCCGAAAATCGTTCGATTAAATATTTTTTTTGTCCATTTTCGGCCATCAAATTCTTACGATTTCGATTTATTTCTCCCAATATTATTTAGCTTTTCGGAGAGATTCGTCGGTGGACGTCGGGGTTGCGCGTATCGAGTATTAATGCTACATCAAACCGGATAAACTTAATATTAAAAATACCGAAAAACCTTTATAATACGGCGGAACGAAAACCAAGTCGGACGCGGAGGATAAACGCGTCGAGCCGGAAGAAGTGGCCGTTGTTTCTCCTGGAATTTCTGGCTTTTTAAAGAATCTCGCCCCTAAATTCTTAATTTGATGGGTTAATCAATTTGACACTTCCGTTCGAGACGGTTCGCCAGTGTCGATCGAACTTTGGAACTTTCCCTCGTATCTCGCGTGGCGATATTTTCTTTTCTGACGGCTCAGAATTTTTCTTTACGTCTTCTTTACTTACAAGGCGACAATTTTGCTTCCATATTTTGTCGGAGTCGGAGCTGGATTTTTCCGGTCGACGTTCCGAACTTTCCTATCCGTTACTTGGCGTCGACCCGTTACCTCACCGGGTAGCAATTTGAAAAAATTGTACACCTTGTATACGTCATCGCAACGGGCAGTCTGCCATATTAGGTTTTAATTAAGGGAAACTGACATCCGTTTAAGTGTTAAGCCTGGACTCCACATTACCCGAAAACAGAAACTCAGAAACACAACTGAAACATATAGAGTTTCAGTTATGTTTTCGTTTTAAGTCGACACCACTAGAAATGCGCCATCTATTGATCGGTTCTGTAATTGTCGTAGAGTCAAACACGAACGACGCTACGAATTTTGTCACGCTTTCTCCGCATTTATTAACAATAAAATTGTTAATAATCTCTGATTTATTTACATTTTTTGTCGTACAGACACGTGTATTTTCTAACTTCTTCGATGAATAATTCCAAATCTATTTGTTTCCTCGTCGTTTTCTCTACACTTTCCGCCATTACGACAATCAAACTACGCGTGACTACGCGTCACAAATCCTGGCGTTTTTACCGGTTGCGGTACGACAGAAGCGCGGGACGAAAACGGAAAAGTTAAATAATTTTTAACTCAACTTTCGGTCTCGTTTCTGTCCAACAGAACGTTCCAAAACCGGAAGTTTCGTCAGTTTGGCTTTCAGTTTTACGATTACGTCGAGGATTTCGGTAATGTGCAGTCCAGGCTTTAAAATCTTTGGACGTATTTTCTGAAAAACTAAAAAATAAGACCAAAAACTGGGCATAAAAATAAGAATAAATGGTTCAATTCTCGATTCGGCAATCGAATAGAATTTTGTAATTCTTATCTGAAAGAAAAAGAAAATGGTTTATCTTTAACTTCTTATCTGCGACTTCAGTTTATAACTAATGATATTGGCAAGAGATAAAATCCTTTAGTCGATCGCTGCTCTTACAAGTTACCAGTCTGAACAAGCAAAGGTGAGTTTAAGTTTCCATAACTCAAAAGTCAGTTACAATCGAAAATATTAAAATACAGGTAATACTGTAATTAATTTAATCGAATCCATTTAAAATGTATTATTAAATTTCGAATATATTTTCGATATTTAGAAACTTATCTAATAGTTTACCTTTAAAAATGCGTAGATAACGTTTAGTTTATCCAAAAGGAATTATAAACATTTTAAAAACGAATCGTTTGACTTTAGTTTACGGTTCGTTACTTTAACGTTGCTCTTAAAGACGTCCGCTGTTTAGGTGAGCCCGCAATTTATTTTAATCTCCTCTATCTAATAAATATTTAATATAAAAAACAAACGTTATACGTTATACAGTTTAATACCAGTGTGTGGGCGCCATATTGACTTATCGAAGAACTTTACTCTCTACCTTTAAATTACAGAGCGTCAGCAAAAATGTTATTTTTTCACGTTTTGATAAATCCGTCTGGTTAGAGCTGTAAAATATAAAAGTATAAATTTCGAGAGAAAGTACGCGTGAGAAAAAAATGCTCTCTCCAAAAATGCCTTCTCCCAATTCGTAGCTCGCCAGTGGCCGAATACATACAACCACCGAACACTGATAGTTAGTCGTGGGTTCGGGCCGGCCGAGTGGAGTTTTCTGGGGTTTTTTCGCGATACTAACACCTAAATAGGGCTCCAGTTTTCCATAGAAAATCATCCCTAGAGGCATTTCCCTCGGCGGATTGTCCGAGTGTCGCGTTGCCTTAAACGAGTAAAGCAAACCGAACCAAATTCGTGAGTTAGAGGAGGAAGGACCCGGGGATATGTATGGTGATTTCGCTTCACTCGTCGTTCTCGGCGCATTTAAGAGAAAGGAAATCGCACCGATAAAACAAAGCCAGCGTATTCTGAATATTTGGCCAGATGGCGATAAGATTTAGGCACCCGCTGAAGTTATAGGATGGAATCCAGCCAGTCTGCAAATTTTCTTATCTATACTAATATTATAAAGAGGTGTGACCCTAGGGTCGGTATCTGTTCGATACCCCGTCAGGATGACACCACTGTATCCTTCGGTCGATACAGAGACCACGCGTTTGCGCGAGCGGATAGGTATGAGGGTTGGACCCGGAATGGAGAGAATGGAGAGAAAAACGGAAGAAACTGCACTCGAGAAGTTTTAACATAAACAACCGTTTATTTATATATATTTAACGTAGGTTTACATTAGTAAATAAAATAGTTCTAGTTCTAGTTTCATCGATCATTTTCTAGTTCTAGTTACAACTGATTTCGCGTTTCGTTTACGAGGAGAGAGAGCCTACAATAGTGCGCGGGCAGGATAAGTACCTTAGGCAGTATAGGAGATCAAGTCCAGCACAAAAATAAAGGTCCAACAGTTCCTTCCAGTTGAATATGTATTGAGGTCAGTTGAGTTCAGTTCTAGTCTTGTAGGCGAGAAGGAGGTTTGGATTCTCGGCGGGAGGTAGACGATCGGAGCGCACACAGATACCAATAATAACTTCCACCCTTACTCATCGTGCCTGTCCCTTTTATATCAAGTCCTTTTTTTCGAACTTTTCTCCGATTTCGTCAGCGATGACGATCTTCTTGGTCCAATGAGGGGACGGGTAACACCATCGTGACACAGAAATGTACTCATCTCAACAAGGAACCCAACTCGTGGTAATCGAAGTGTTTTCACAAAATTTCTGGTTGTCAGAGGTAATGTTTGTATGTAAGTTTGTATGCAGCGGGTAATCTCCGAAACTACTCATCCGATTTCAAAAATTCTTTCGCCAATATTTAGAATGAAACTTCGGGGCGGACATAGGCTGTATATTATTCCATTAAACATTCGTATAAATTAAAAAATATCATCTAGGTTAAGGCTTTTATGTCCAACAGATGGTGCTACGAGTATGATGACCTAAGTTTGCTTTTCTGCGAGGCATTACGCTTTTCAGTGAGGATGAACTAAAGCGGATCATCTTCTATCTATCTATATAAATAAAAATGTAATGTTCGTTTGTTCCTACCGATTCCTTTGAAATTTTGACACAACGCTGCATTTGAATACGCGCGTGTTTTTTATATAATATACGAGTCGAAATTCCCCCCACTGGGGGAAGATGGACGGGATTAAGGCTTACGGTAAAGAACTCCGCTTCTATTTATACTATTTCAGATGCAGTTTTTTGCGTTTTGATTGCGTTTTAATAGGGTACGTCAACAGAATGTATACTAAGAAGAAATTTTTCCAAAAATTTCCCCCCCCCCACGGGGGAAGTGTTATACATTTATAATAGATACATTTTGAGCCACAACAACGCGTGCGGGGTCTGCTAGTATTATATAATTTGCAATTTATCAAATATGGATAGAGTACAGTACTCAATTTGAACTCTATACTTTTGTAATTTTATTGAAAATTTTCGGATCTGTATTATTGAATTCTTTAATCCATCAAGCTAAAGTTAATTTATGTAGAATAGCAAAACACACAAAGGCTGAGTGGCCAGTTGGTTAAGGTATCAGCCTACTGTTCTGGGGATTTGAGATTGGATCTGAATGAGTTTAACCCCAAGAATTTTTTGGGGATGGTCTCTTGGATATGTCAAACTCAATCTTTCACTATTTGGCTGGTCCGTTATGAGCTTATCTGTACCCGTGATGGGCTTGAAAAAGGATCTCTTAAGGCCCATAGGGCAGAAAGAAAAACAAAAATATGTGTAATTTCCAACATAACTAATTTCATTAGGACTCTGCTCAGAAGTTCAGTCTTTAATACAAAAAGTCAAGTAGATTATCCTGAAAATATTTTTTAATTGCCTTAATTATTTTATATGTTGTTCACAATGGTTTATTCTGATTAAATTTCTGTTTTTTATGCTGAACTATTAGAAAGAATATCTGCAATTGCACTTTTTTTAATCCAAAACATTGTCACAAATTTCTATTTATGATTATGAAATGTTTATTTTGTATGGAAATTTGGTAGTTGATATATTTATAATTGACTGCTCAATGTAAATACAAGATCTTATCTGAAATGAAAAAGAAAAACTTTTTCAATATTAGAAATTTTTAAATTTTATATACAGTCAAATCTCGGTACAGTGATTATTGATATAATGATAAATCTGTCCTTAATGATAAGAAATATAATTTCCAATGCAATTTGTATTAGCTTAATGTAAAATTGAATGATATTCTTTACTGTAATAAATCTCTGTTTAGCAATACATTTTTTTCTGCTGTACTGTGTACTATACTTACATAACTAAGAAATGTGTGTAGCCACATGCACATTGCATGACTGGTAGAAGTGACAGAGCTATGTAAATGATTAAAAGAGTAAACAAAGATATGCAACAAACACCTGTTTATTCAGTAAAAAATTAAACATTTATGTAAATGTTTAATTTTCCCTGTAATAACGGAAGGATTGTAACATATTTCGGTGCGTAATGTATGTAACAATTTTTTTGTATTTCCCGCATCGTGGGTTTTACCCAGTATGGCTAAATAAATTAAATTAAATGAAAAAGATTGCGTTAGACTTATTAAAATATAAGTTAATTTTAATTTTAAACCGTAAAATCAAAATATGGCCGAAGAAATTCATCTTTTGCGTGGCATTGCGTTATGTTTCATCAAAAGTAATTTTTAATATATTTTTAAATATAGGAATAAAACCGCTTTTATTGGTGGAAGTGACATCACTACACCGCGATTAAATCCTATATTTATGTTTTTTTGGGTTAAAAATTTTGTTTAAATTCTTACGTCGTCGTTAATGTGGAAGGATTAAGACCTAAGTATTGGAGTTACTAAAATTTCTAATTAAGACACACATAAACTGTTAAAAGAGAATCAAAGTAACCAGCCAATGAACTCGGCAACTGTCATGACGACACAAATTTCTCTATCTACCAAAGGCAGAAGGAAATAGAGGATGATAACGTGTCCTCGTTGCTGTTAACGACGTATACCGTCGTTAAAATCATCCGTTACGAAGTATTCTTTTGTATTCTTAATTCGTATTCCGAGGAATTTTAGGAGAAAAAATTGGACCGTCGCACGGGGTAAAGTAAATTTTTAAGTTTTAAGGGATCGTCTAGAAATCACGTAACACTATTTTTATACTTTAGACACGTGAATAAAACACAGAAAACTGCACCTGGGTTGGCCACGTGGAGTTTTCCGGATCGTCTTCGCGCGTCTAACGCCTAAATACGAGCAATTTTCCCATAGAAAGTCCTCCTCTTGGCAGATCGCCCACGTGTCCAGTTGCCGTATTCCATCAAATCATCATTCGGTTAGTCAAAGATTGGGATCCTAGCATTGCGTAACGTTTTTGTAAGCACTCGCATTTCCTCGAAACTCATCGTAACAATTACCAAAATATCCGTATACGCATCCACCCGTATCTGCGTTACGTAATATACGGACGGCCCTAAAGACCGTCTTCGACTATTACGTAGATATTTGGGTGTAATAGCCATAATTTGGCCCATTAAATGCCCTTTTAAGTGACGAGATATTCAAAAAGTAGATATTTTTTGAGTCTATTTAATCTCGATGCGGATAATTTTTTAAAATTTACTTTAAAATACTGTACTAAGATGTGAAAACGGATTCGTTAAATTTTAATGGAAATAAACTGCCAGATGCCAAACCATAAACGCGTTTGCGACAGGTAATAAAAGAAACGGCACACCTGTTGAGCGCTTAAGTGAATATTCAAAACTTGCGTATTCGAGAGTAGAAAAACAAACTTTTGTTTGTAAGATATTCTTGTGTTCTAAGAAGGTCTTTTTCTACGACTATCGTGGGTTCGACCAGGTTCGCAGTAAGAGCGACGGGGACTCGACATGTCGGGAAAGGCCCCCGTAAAAAATCGCAAGGGGTACCCGTCCGGATTCGAATTCGGATTTCCCGGAGGCCGATGCCTTAGTTGCGTTCACACGGGTACCTCTTACATTACGTCACGTCTTTCCGTTCCGTCACGTTACATAAAAGTAGGGCCCATTAACTATTCGGTTAGGTTCAGGTTAGATTTATTTGATTACTGCCACGCGACAGGTGGGCAATCTGCCGAGGGAGGATGTCTCCCGGGATGACTTTTAAGGATTACCCCGAAGAACTGGGCTTCTACTATACTATTTAGATTGCATTTTAGCGGGAATCGAATATATTTTTAGACCCATCAAAAAATTATGTAATTAGCCTCGAAAGAGGGGAGGGACCTAATTCTTGCACCCGGTGAAAACGGGCAAGATCTGCTGCGATCTAATAATATTAAGGATGGTTCCTGAACGTATACGCTTCGTACGTATAACTTTCCCCCGTTTTACATTAAATTGCTCGATATTGCCTTATATAAATTATAAATCTTAACCCTGTATAGTGTATATATTGTCGCGCCATTTAGTTTGTATGGATTTCCGTGCTATTATTGTATCGTGTAACCGTATTTTGTTTCATCTAGTGACAGCTCTCTCACCCTCTTTTACAAATAGTGGGTGATCGGTTAACGAACAGATCGGACAACGAACACATGATCGGATAACGAACACCCCACAGAACAAACACAAGAAGCGACGTAAATTAATGAATACCGATTGGTCTTCCCTCGTCTTCGGGCAACAATTCGAAACTTTTCAGAGTGTGGGAGACGTCGACATCGACGCTCAAGCCGGTATATACCGATCGGATAGTATTCCTTCGAACTTTGAAATTCTCCCTCGTAATTCCAGCCTTTTATTTTTCCGACAAAACAATTCTTTTGTGTATTCGCGAGACTGTCGGGTAGGCACTCGTTAAGTTTTGCGTCTGTTTTTCTTTTCGAAAGGTGTGAGTATAATAGCAAAGGTAGAGAGTGGGCAGATGTCCAATGTTGCTGGGCAATATGGCGTAACAGGTAAACAGGTCATCGAAGAGTTCGTAATGTAACCTAAAACGGATCCGACGACGGAAGAATGCCAAGAACTCGAATGAAGAACACCAAGAAACTCGAAGAGATACGTTTTCTTCCGAAAAAGAGGATTAATGCCGATATCTGTTATTAGAGATTCTTTGTAGAAGTGGGAGGATGTCAGAACGACGGTCTTAGAATGGCATCCAAACCAGGTTGAGGCTTGGGGATTGCTACAATTGCAATGCTATTAATTACTTACGAAAAATCGTGAAGAAGAGAGAAAAGCGATCGACATTAGACAGATTCTTTAACCCTTTCAAACGGAAAAAACATGACTAATAAAAATGCAAGACTGCGTATATGTGTATTTTTATTATTACATATAAATTAACGTAATAAGAAAGTATATATTTTTTATTTTTGGAAGTCTCCGGAACGAATTAATTAAATTCCCATTAAAATCTACGTAAATCGATAATCGGTTAACGAACAATTCGGATAGCGAACAAAGTCTTGGAACGGATTATGTTCGTTAACCGATCACCCACTGTACAAATAATATTAGTCTTCGTTATCGTTATTCTTTGCCCGAGCCACGCCCGGCTCATCTCTACTTGAAAAATAACAAACAAGTCCTTAGATTAATGTTAATTTAAAGTTATTATCTGTCATCTCCGTAACATCTAGAAATGCTAAAAGTGCACCACGAGGTACCAACGACGCCTGAAAATATGCAACAGCCTGTTGCGCTTCGATCGACTCGTTAATTTTGCTGGACATGGCGATGGCGTAAAACTTCCCATTGTTTTGTACGTGACTCCGTTTTGTTTTCGACCATCGTGACGTTTGCTCCGCCGTGACGTATTGTTTGTCTCCGATTATGACGCGGTCGTAGTACATTTATTTTGCGTGTTTTCTATAACGATCCGAGGAGCGTACGTGTAGTATTTTTTCTAGGTGCGTAGAAATCTGTCTTTATGTACGAGCTTTCGCCGTATTGTATTTGCTATTCGGAAATGCCGATGCAAGTAATCGGTTCGTGTTAAAAGTTTGCATCCAGCTGTATTGTTAGTATTGAGTTTAATGAAATTTAATACCAACAATACTCTATCGATTTGCTAGTCTTTGTTTTATTGTAGGCTTTGTCCTCATATACGGATTCAATGACGTCTCCATTTCCGAGTATAAAATTATACTTTCTTCAGTATCCACGCGAAGTGTTGCGCATTCGTTCGATCTAACCCGCATTTGCGTGCCGGTGGAATAATTCTGTGTGACTTCTAACAGCCGATTTTGCTGTACTTGTATGTCGTCCACGTACATCGGACGAGATAATCTGTATTAGATTCGTGTTTAACCTATTTATTATTATTTTAATTTAATTAATCGAAATTTCAAATATTTACTGTAGAAAAGTGAACGAAAAACAAGATGAATTATTATATATTTTGAAGGGAGATATTTCGTTGATTGTTTGCTTTTTCGTTCCACAGATTCCGATGGAAACTTCTGCGTGTGCGGTGGAAATAATTACGGACAAAACTATTTTGGATATAATAACGGATATAACCGACGATCCCGTACGTCATCGACTTTCTTTTCTTTTATTGGCTTAAAGTTTGAGATAATTCGAAATGAAAGGAAATTCTTTTGGATGTAGGAGCAGGAGGAAGCGTTTTTTGTGGCCGATCTCTCCCAAATAATACACAGATTTAAATTCTGGCAAACGAAAATGGACGGAATAAGACTGCTTTTCCGTGAGTTCATTCCCGTATTCGTTGTTTACCGTACGCGATAAGACACGCGTTTAATATACGATTCATTGTTAGCTTTAAAGTAATTCTCTAACAAAATATCTCTGTACTTGAGAATTTAAAATTATTTACCCCTAAAAAATCTTTTCTATCGGCAGAAAAGGTCGTAAACTTTACATTTATTTGTTCCTTTAAGCGCGTGTATTTTTGTCGTTAACTCGCTCTTTTTGTTGTATTTAGCGTTTTCTCCGCTCTTTGCGCGTATCCCGGTGTGAGAAAACAATAAATAAATCATTGTGGAACATGTAAATACATCGTACAAATAATCTAGTTTGATTACAAAAATGAGCTTAATTTAATTGGGTGTAGAACTCGATATACCTTTACATATTTTGCAGTTCTTATTTGTATATTTATAGCCGTTACATATACGGTACGGTGGCGTCGATCCGAACCCCCGTTCGTCCCAACGCCTCGTCATCCGAGCGGCTTTTACCATTCCCCTAATATAATGGACTCGCGACTGTACACTCGCAGCCGAGTATAAAGTAAGTCACGTGTTGCCAACAATGCCGCTCGTTCTTTCTGTACCCTCTTTTGAATTAACGATAGTTAATTCTCTATTTCTCTATTCGATGCCATCGAGCATCCGGCAACGGCCGCGAAGCCCGTTAATCCCGACCACCGCCGGTGTGGATTAGTTGGGATTAGCGCCTCCGTACTGTATTTAAACGTTATCCACTTTTCTTTGAACAGCTCTTCGGTATAACAACGATCCTAAGGTGATCGTCACGTTGGGTGCTCTAGGAGTGAATTTCTCTTGTGCCAGCAAGGTAAATTCTTTTGTTGTATTTCTACCACCAAAAACGGATGAAATTACATTTAAATTTTATATATTATATACGGAAAATATACGGTAAACTCGGTTTGGATTAGTTTCTGAGAAATTTCCTTCGAGCCAGCATCGTAAATCGAGCTCTTCCTACAGGCCGGGTAGTAAATTGAGGTTTCGCTCCCACGGAGTTTAAATTGCGTTAGGTAAAGAAGGGAGAGTAACAGTGATATTCACCGTACAACACCGATAATTATATCATTTATAGTTAAAATACTATAAACGGAGGATGCGGCTCTCCAATAGGCATTCTAATAGGATACAGGATGTGGCTATGGTGCATTTCCGATAGGCAAAATACGGCTCCTACTGTGAAAGATGGCAGTTACGTACAGTACTGTACACGGCCACCCCGTGCAAAACTTTGATTAATATGTCCTCGTTTTTTCAGCGTCTATAGCAATTTTCTATGGTAAAATTTACTTGTTTCGTGGAAGCCGCCATATTGGTATGTTGAGCTCGACGCTGACGTCGCGGACAAGGACTTTAAACTACAAGGATAGCCAGATCCCGTATATTTGTTAGCGTGACCTTGGATCTATGTGACGTCACAGCAAGTCCTCTACTTCAACACGACAGACCTTTCAAATAACAAAATACGATAAAATATTAAATCATTTCTTAATTAATTATTAAATTACTACTAAATGTAAACTACCGTAGAATTTTCGGATTTAATAAGTGTACTGTACGTCAATAAATTTACAAGTCTTTTGTGTAATATTTATTTAACAAATTAATGAGCTATATTTTTTATTATGTGATTATCTTACTTAACTTTTTAATTTTTTTTCGACAATCACCATTTTCAGAAGGCATTCTTTTCAATATTTTATAGTTTTCTTGTTTAAGATTTCTATAATTAATTCTTATTATAGTTCTTAATTTACAAAAATCTTTTATTAAAGTAAAAGGTAAAACTGTTTCCACTGACTAATTCTGTACAACTCCGGGGCCTTTTTTATACGATTCATCGTGATATATTTCGAAATATTTATTCCATTCTATAATTTTTGCTAG